ATTGCCTTCATTCCATAAATTGCACACATGCAGAACTGCCCAACGTTTTAGTGTCTACTGTAGTAGTCTAATGACTACTATAAGGTTTGCTAAAAATTCAGATTTATTTTCTTTTGACAAAATGTGTATTTTATGGTAGACCTGTTATTTGATAGTCCCTAATACTGTAGTTCCAACTTTCCAATATTTTGTTACTAGTTTTTTTGTTTACCTTATAGATTTGCATTCTGATGGGACCTTGCCCATCTTGCAAAAAATGATGAAAATTGTACCCTTTGATGCAGTTTCTGGATGCAAAATCTCAAACCCATTTGTTTCACAAGGAAACAAATATGGGAGGTTTTTATGGGGAATATGATCAGAGAACATGGCCAGGACTTAAAGATCAAAGTTAGTCCTGAGGCCAAAACATATTTTGCATTTTGCAAACTTGTCTTCAGTAAAATTCCCTTTTGAATCAGACTAATACTGGAAAAAAAACCCCAGTTTGTTCATGTCATTTTTAGTCTTCCAGTTTGCCAACCCCTTTTGGATTCTCATGCACTTCTGCTTTGACAAGCAGAACACATTCCTCTTTTTGGTTAACCCAGGACTATAATGCTCCAGATGAAAGCAAAGCTAGTTCTTCCATCATTAGCAAACTTATTAGTTCTGTAATGAACCTAGAAGAACAGAGTGTGCTAAATACTAAACAGTTGTCTAACTAATAATCGGTTTCTGGGACACACACATGCAGTCTTCTAGGTTGCTGCACTGCACTTTTGTACTTCACCAACAAGCTTTGATCTGAAAAGAATCAGTGATAAAAACAGCAATAAAAACATATTTTACTATCTGAAATCTCTCAGAGAAAGTGTCTACTACCTGTGCTCTTTTTTAGTAACATGGCAAAGAAACTATCACATGATTATCTGAGAAGGTTTTCCCTGAGGCAGGGCAGAGACAGGTCTGGGAGTGTCAGAAGACAGAGCCCTTGCACTGTGAAACAGAAGGGATGGAAGTTTGCAAAGAAATAGATGTGGGTGAAAGAAAATCAGAGAAGAATAACTGGAAGTAGATGAATTGAAGGGGTATGTTAAGGCACTGAAGAAGGATAGTGAAAGTATGGGATGACTAGACACACAGAGACACAGGACAAAGCTAAAAATAAAAATAAAAATTAAAAAAAAAAAACCAAAACCAAAACAAAAAACAAAACAACAACAAAAAAACCCAAAACAAAACAAAACAAAAAAACCAACAACAACAAAAACAAACACTAAAATAAAAGCTAGAAAACTCCAGAACTTGCAAGCAGAACAGTAAGGTTTTTTTGCCTGTTCTGTGCTTTTGGTCTTCAAATATTTGATAACATTTTTTGGATAAATAACTTTTCTTCAAAAAGAAAACATTTTCACAGTTTGGGGTTTAGATTAATCTAAAACATTTCACTGAATTGGTAACTTCTGGTTTTACTTGCATCACTTACACAGTTTAATGCAGCACCATCTGCTCTCTTAGGCCTAGTTTTAGTTTGACATCGTTCACACAGCTAATTTACTCCATTATTTTATCTTAGAATGTGCATCTATTTGGTATATAGAGGTTAAGTGAGTTTGTTTTGTGAAATCAAGGCAAATCTCAGGCACTTTGACTGATTTAATTGATAAAGGGAATTTTTCTTATAAATTTACTGAAAAATGGTGGAAGATTTTCACCATCCACTTCAATTACAGTTATCTCTCTAAAACTATGTTTGTGACATGAAAAAAAACAATTTCCTAAGAACTACAAATAGATCTCTACAGGAATGGATACAGTTTTAGAATGGAAACCTATTTTCACGAAAAAACAAACAAACATGAGGCAGTCAGTATTGCAGGTTAAATATAGTAGCTTTAGTCTTTTTTCCCTGTATCTTAAATTTTGTCAGTGATCTTTCATTCTGGTGCAAACACCTCAAAATTTTTTCCTCATGGAAATTCTTGGTTGGTGCTGGGGAGCAGGAAAAATAAGCAACTCATAAGGAGTATTTTCTCCATTCTTTTAGGGATTCTATCCTTGATTCCATCTTTGATTTGTTTTTAATTTTATATAAGATTTTCTAAAAGACATTTTTCAAAACAAAAACAATAGCAAGTTCTTAGCAAATCTGTGATTATTTGCAGAAAGTAACAGAAAAGTGTAAACAGAAAACTACAAGTGTGTATTTTTAGTTGCAGTAAGATCAACTTTTGTTGCTGCACATGTAATTTTCCTTGGAGAACTGCTAAGGAGAAGATCAAAGTTTCACTCCCAGCCTAGAAACAAAAAAGATACACAGTGTACTACTAGCCAATGTCACTCTAGACTCATCTCATCAAGGAGCTCAAGGTGTGAAAACTTTGCAAGGGCAGATGTCAGCACTCACGAAAGCAGCAGCTGTTCCATGTGACCACAGTTCTGCCACTAAAGCTAGGAACTAACTTAATCTGATACCTCTTTTAGGTTGTTCTCAACTACCTTGCTTTTTATGAAATGGAATATACTCAGTATTTTGAGTATTGCACTTATTAAGAATCTATGTCTAAGAAGATACCAGATAACAAAGTGCTTTTAAATTCCTATAGTATCAAAATGGATGGCCAGGATTCCAAGAGTGGTGATGAATGGATTTACTTGCAGTTGGTGATCAGTCATGAAGGCTCAGTATTGGGGCCAGTCCTGTTTACTATCTTTATCAATGATCTGTACAAGTGGATCGACTGCCCCTTCAAGTCAGTTTGCAGACAATACCAGGTCAGACAGGAGTGTTGATCTGCTGGAGGGTAGGAAGGCTCTGTAGAGGGATCTGGACAGTACAGTGGGCCAAGGCCAATTGTATGAGCTTCAACAAGATGAAGTGCCAGGTCCTGCCCTTTGGTCACAACAACTTCATGCAGCACTGTTAGACATCAGATCAGTAATTATTGGGTCAGAACCACTTTGTGGGGACTGCATGTGTGCGTGTGTGCATGTGTGTGTATGTGTGCGTATGTGTGTGTGTGTGTATGTGTGGAGGGAGAAGGGACAGGTCAAACCTCACAGACGTGGGGTGGCGTTGTATCCCTCATGGCAGACCCCTGGAGCCCACATGGGGAAGCCCTGGAGTAGCTGTCAGACACAAGCAGCCTGGGAAAACTATAAGACACCACACCTCCTGGAGCCCCTAAGCCAGCCTCATATTGGCAGGGACAGTAAGGACACTGCCCCTCACCCTGGCCTAGAACCCCAAAGTGGCTGGTGGGTCACAGGCCCCACCAAACAGGTTTGCCATAAGGACCAGAGCAGATAAAACTAAGGCATATGTTTGCCACATGTCATGGCCCTGCCGCTTGGATGTGTGGGAGCTGGTCTTCCACAAGGTTCCAACGGTAGCTATATAATCTGACTCTCCCTCTTTCTCCTTCTCTCTTCTTACTCCCTCTGCTTCTTTGTTCCTTTCTGGATGCTTTGGGTGGCTTGGAGCTGGAGGGACTGGATATTGACTTAAGTGTTGTAGATTGATTAGATCTTGATTTATGTGTTGTGGATTGATATCTGCTGAGTTAGTACTGTGGTGGAACATTTTTGTCTAGCTTGTGTACTGCCCTTTTTGAACCTTTGCCAAGTTCCCTTATTTTCTTCCCTAAATTAATAAAGACACATCTTGGGAACAAGTCTGTTGCTTATGCTCTTAATGCCGTCCTGAGGAATTAAAGAACTGTATATATAAATGTGTACATATATATATATATTTTTCTTTTTAAAGGTAAAACTCCCAGCTAAGCCTGTGAGCCTGCAGCTCCAGGGCTGAAGTGTTACAAGTACTACAGGCTTGGGGAAGAGAGGTTGGAAAGCTGTCTGTTGAAAAAGGAACTGAGGGTGCTGGCTGACAGTTGGCTGAACACGAGCCAGGTTGTACCCAGGTGGACAAGAAGGCCAATGGCATCCTGGCCTGTATCTGACATAGCATGGTCAGCAGGACCAGGGAAGTGATTATGCCCCCTGTAGTCGGCCCTGATGAAGCCACACCTCAAATCCTGTGTTCAGTTTTGGGCTCCTCATGGTAAGAAAGACACTGAGGTGCTGGACCGTGTCCAGAGAAGGCCAATGAAGCTGCTGGAGGGTCCGGAGCACAAGTCCAGCGAGGATTGGCTGAGGGAGCTGGAGTTGTTTAGCCTGGAGAAAAGGAGCTTCACAGGAGACCTTATCACTCTCTACAACTACCTGAAAGATTGTAGCCAGGTGGGGGTCGGTCTCTTTTCCCAAGTAACAAGGACAGGATGAGAGGATATGGCCACAAGTTGCTCCAGGGGAGGTTTACACAATGTCAGGAAAAATTTCTTCACTTGAAGGGTTCTCATGCATTGGCTGCCCAGGGAAGTGGCTAAGTCACCATCTCTAGAGATATTTAAAACACATGTAGTTGTGGCACTTATGGACATGGTTTAGTGGTAGACCTGGAAATGTTACACTGATGGATGGACTCGTTCTTGGAGGTCTATTCCAACATTTATGATTCTGTGATTCTATGGCAAAATTTAAATTGGCCAATTTTACCTGAAGCAGCTTTTAATTTCCATTATGGGGCATTTTTTTTGATTTGACATATGGACCTCTAAGTATTTTTTATTTGATGTCTAAAGCCCTATGTAAAGCATATTTGCAATATGCTGGTTACTTTTGGGTACCTTCTTTCTTACCTTACCAATATCACATACTAGTGGTTGGAGACAGAGCGGCTAAAACATCTCTGGAAACAGATACAGCAGCATAATTTCAAGACTTATTCAGAAATCACAGTGAGGGACATCTCCCAGGTCAGATGTAAGCTGATGACTGTTCATTGAAGCTAAAAATTTGGAGGCAGCTAGATACCAGTGGTTGGTTGCATCACTCTTGTATGCAGCTGGCTGCAGAAATTGGTGAACCATAACAACAGTAAGCTGACAGGTCACAGATGCTATACTGGATTGCCGCTCATGAGCATTGACAAAAAGAAAATACACTGAAGAAAAATGGCTATTGAAGTGCATTTTATTATACAGCAATTTGTAATACAGGAAAGATGTAGTTTTTAAACAACTATGTATATAAAATTACAGTAAATGCAGTGATCAGTAGATTTAAGGAGGAGCAAACTGCATGAACACCAGTTTTATTTGTAAACAGTATAAAATTTAAAGAAACATTTCACTGTTTAGAGTCTTATTTATATAATATACAGACTTTTATTAAAAGATGATCATGCAATGGGCACAATTTCTTCCTCTTCATACTAGTATGAAAACACACTTTTATTTTGCATACTTAACTTCATGGTCAGTGGGAAATCTTCACAAATTGGTTTTGTTTGTTACTCAGACACTTAATGACTAATTTCCTATCAGTCCAGCTATCTGGAGCCATAACTGAAGGAGTACAAACTCTAGAAAAAGGACCTCTTTGTACAAACTCAGTAACGCATTCGCATATACATTTCACATATCAACTTCTCTCAAAAAATTAATAACGGTGAATACAGATATTACCAGTCCTAAGGATATCAATAAGAAAGGATTAGGACTCACAGTAATATAGTGGAAGAAAAGTAATAAAATAACCGGCCCTGTAAAAAGCTTCTCTAACACATAAGTAGCCCAGACAGGGTCAGAGGTATAGCATTACACGCCATATCAAGTTTAGCAGAGGTAGTGGTAAAGGGCATTTGAACTACACTTGAAATATTGATTCATTTTTATAATTATCTAAAACAGCCAGAAACATCTTGGAAATATGTTTCTTTTAAATACAATGAAGTGCCTTGACTATATGAATATATTTGTCCCTTTGGTTTAAGAATTAGGGATCTTTAACTGTAGTGTTTTTCCCTAAAACATTGCCTAGCATTGTTGTAGAGCAGTGGATTGAGGAAAAAAAGAAAACCACTTTAAAAGGATTTATATATGGATTGCTTGCACTAGCACAGAACCTATTACTTTATTTGGGGATCTACATGTATGCACATTTGGGGATCTACATGTAGGCACATCTACATGACGGTCCTTGCAGGAGTGGCCCATAGATATTTTCCTTGAAGTACATTTTAACATGTCATAGAGATTTATAACTGTAATTTTTTCCCTAAAATAATAGAGGATTTTGTAGTCAATACAAAAGTAGTTACTTATACAGAAAAATACTTAAGGCATATAAGGCCATAACTGTACTACGAAGCTGCAGCTTGTCTTATCAAGACAAATATATGCTAAACAGGCACAAAGTGGTTACAAGAACTTATGTGATCAAAATATTTTTATGAGTGTCTCACAGAAATGATAGCCTAAGAAATGTGTACTACATTACAATTAAAAAGGGTCAAAAAACCCAATATAAAACAATGCTTCCACATCAACTGAATAGAAATAATTCAGTTACAGATTATGAGGACAAATATGAAAAACCTTTCCTTTTCAAATAAATACATGTACTAAGGGAGCACAGCCACTAACTGAAACAATAACTTTGTGCAATTAAATTAACAGTTCTTACGTACTGAACAAAACCATAAAAACATTCAAAGGACAATAGTGCAATCATGTCAGAGCATAAAGCTGATGTATGCCATTTTACCCTCAGGTTGAAGGCAAGGTAGCCCTTCAAAGCAAAACAACGCAAAAATTCGTGCATTGTATAAATACGTGCTTTAATTTCTAAATTTAAATATGTTTCCAAGTTTTTTTGCTTTAACATGAATTCAACGTGTTATTATGTGAACACTAAAGACATGGTGGAGCTGATCATTGTGGGATTTCCAAAACCAGTTCCAACTGAGTCATAGCTATATCCCCATTTGGTAGTGCTTTCTAAGTCTTCTAAACATTGATCATAGATTTAATTCAAGGTAAAACTTTGTTATAGTTAACAGTTTTCAACCCTGAATCTTATTTAAAAAACAACACTGTTTCAAATTAAAGTTGCTTTACAAAAAAATTACACAGCTTACAAAAAGAAACTCAGGTTATATAGTTTGGCTAAATAACACAAGATAGATTTTGGTCATTAAAATAAATGAAAAAAAAAAAAGTACCCAAAATATCAATGGCCTAATCCTGCAGAGAAAGAAAAACAGGTGTGAAGGCAGGTCCCTGAACTCACATCCTTCAAAAAGCCTCTCTACAGGCATGGACATTAACATGGTACTCTCCGTATGATAAAAATATTAGATACAAAAGCAATTACTACACATGCACATATGCTGCTAATTCTGGGATGTGAAATTCACATTTGCAAGAGGTTGCAAGAGGTTGTCCTGATGTTCTTACAGTAGTCAAGAGAACAATAAGGGCGATCTACAGATACCAAAAGGGTGAGTCATCAAGATTACAGTTAAACTCTTCTTAGTAGAAGGAGACAATATAATGAGGGGAAACTGCTACTAATTTGTAGCCACTTGGGAAACTGAGGTTGGACATAGAGAGAAATGTTTATCCAGAAGGGGAGAGCAACCATGGGAACAGGTTGCCCAGAACAGTGACAGTATCTCTGTCCTGGGAGATTTTCAGAGCCTAGATAGCCAAACCTACAGTTAACCTGATCTAGGGCTGGCAAAAGTCCATCTCTGCTTGGGACATTGTATAAAACCACTTCCAAAAATTCTTCCTGCAAACAACTTTATGTGATTCTCTGTATTCAACCAAAATGCTTTGCTCATGTAGGTATGTCAACAAGGTTGAGGAAAGTGTATTTCATCTCATTTACTGCAGGCCAACACCACAGAGATAGTCAAACACAGTAGCTCAGGACAGACACAAAGAACAGTGAGCCTCACTTTAAGCCCTAGAGTTAACAAGAGGTAACAACACTGAAGGAGAAATATTTTGGAATGTAAGTAACAGCTTATATTAAGAGGCTGTGACCTCTATCAAGTTGAGAAACCTCGCTGGGGGATTGTCCAAGGAACTCTCCCTTTTATTCAAATAGAAGTTTTAGTTAGCTCCTCTGTCTCTTGGCTATCTTTGAAGGTCTTAGTACCTGGATTTTTCAGTATAAATGGGGGCTCTTGTCCAGGATTGACTCCACCCTCCAAGGGCAGGGGCTGATGAATGGAGCTGAAGACGCCGCATCAACAGTTTTGGTGATCAGTTGCTTTCACTAGAGGCTAAAATGAGATGGGTGATTGGGTTCCCAAGGCTATCCAGAGACAGATGAGAGAGGACAATAGGATAAAGGAACATTTGTTTTGGTTTGGAAAGGAGTCAGGGAAAGGACTGAGACATCTCACCCAATGAGTAACGGGAACTGGGGGAAGTAAAAAGAGAGGGCCCAGAGACAGCAAAAAGCCAGGTAAGGGATGTGGCAGAAAGGGTGATGACCCTTGTATACCCCCACACAGTCCCTTGGGTAAAATGCTGGAATTTTGGGACAGTATAAGTTCACCAGAAGGGGTGATTAAGGAATTAATGGTAAAATACTGTTGTTTTCACTGGCCAAAGTACTCACTACCTCGTGGGTTTAGGTGGCCGCATTTTGGGTCTCATGATGAGGATCTTATTCAGACCCTCTGTGTCTTTTGGATGATAGTGGGATGGAAACAACTGAGAGGAGTTGTGGTGACAATGTAGTCAAAAGAGACTTCTTTTGTGAAGTTGTGTCCTTTCAGGGAAAGAAAAAATTGGGGAGAAGGTGAGAGAGAGAAGGAAAAAAATTTAAAGTGGGATGTGTTGCAAGTATTGCTTCCACCTTATCAAGGAGACAGTCAGAACCACGAAGTCATTCACAGGAAAGGGAACGGGGAATTCTCAGTGCCCTAAGGATGGAGGGTGACAGGAAGTAGGAGGGGGGAAGTAACTCAACCCTGTCTGCTTCAAAGGCAAGGGTTGGAATTCGATTTCCTGTCAAAGAGGGAGGTTTGCAGATGCTGCAGGACGGGGAGGTGGGAAGCAATTCAATCCTGTCTCCCCCAAAGACAAGAGCAGGAACACAGTATGCTGCTGGAGAAAGAGTTTTGCAAATGCCACTGAGACGGGTCCCATTAGGAGGCCAAGGAGGAGGTTTTAGGTTTGTAATAGTGCCACTAGCAACTCAGGATTGAAGAAAGGGCTTTCATTTCACCTGGAGGATCCTACAGGAGTAGGAGAGAGAACAGATGAATATTTAGGGTATGCAGATTACACTTGGAAAGACTGAGATTTCTTCCTAGGAATCTTTTTTGGATTTCAGGAAAAGTGAATGATTTTACAAAAGGCACAGCAAACCTGGGAAGATGAGCACCCACAAGCTGTGGGTGTAGTAAGACAGAATGGTCTTGTTGTGGACAATGCTATTCCACAAGCAGACTCCAATTGGGACCCAAACAGCCAGGTGCAGTTAGGTCATCTAAGAGATTTATCACACATATTTAATTAGAGCAATAAAAACAGCAGTGCCACAAACGAGTAATGTGTCTAAAGCTATGTCTCTACAACAAGAGAAAGATGAGAGCCCCACCCAGTGGTTAGAAAGGCTTAGGGATACCTCGAGAAAACAGAGAGGGTTAGACCCTGAAAGCCCTGCATTTGAAACTTCATTGAAGGTACAATGTGTCACTCAATCACAATCTGATATAAGATGAAGGGTTCAAAGAAAAGAAGAGTAGCAGAATAAATCTTTAGAAGATCTAATATGAAAACCACAAGTTTATGTAATAAAGGACAAGGAGAAAGCCAAAACAAAGGCTAAGGTAATGGTCCAGATTCTTCAACCTAAATGAGGAGGAAAGAGAGGACAAGGGGAAGCAAAAGGGAGAGACTGGACCCCCAGATCCTTTCACAATAGCCCTCACTCTCCTAATCAAGCTCAAGTACGACCTAAGTTGGGGAGGAACCAATGTGCAATCTGTAAGAAAGAGGGACATTGGAAAAAAAGAATGGCCACAGAAGCAGACAGATCAAGAAGAGGAGGAGATCCACCATTTAATGGAAATGGATTGCTAGGGGTGTCATGGGTTCCCTTCATATTACGAGCCCACCACCATGGAACCCTTGATAAACTGCCTACTGGGCCCTGATTGAGAGGTAGTGCAGTTTTTAGTGGATACTGGGGCTTCTAGATCTACACTGAATTTTATGCCTAAAGGAGGTTGATCATCAAAAGGAAGTTTAACTATTCAACAGGTAAGTGGGAAGGATGAGAAAGTACACATACTGGAACCTATACCGGCTGACATAGAAAATAAATTTGAAATGCATGACCTTTTTGTTCCAAATTGTGATTGTAATCTGCTGGGGAGAGATTTGATGGCAAAAGTGGGTATGCAAATTAATATTGTGAAGGATAAAACTGAAGCAAATACAATTATTACACTCCATAAGCTATCATCAGGGGCTTATGAAAAAGTAAGCCCCAATATGTGGGCAGTATCTGGGAAATATGGAAAATTAAATACAGAACAGATTACTTTAAGGCATCAGGATCAGATTGTATCCCAGAAGCAGCACCTCATTCAATGGAAGGAAGAGAAAGGTTAAAACCTATAATCCAACCGTTATTACAAGCTAGCTTGTTAGAACCATGTATGTCTCCTTATAACACCCCAATTTTACCAGTGAGGAAACCAGATGGAAGTTACCGAATGGTTCAAGATTTAAGAATAATTAATGAAATAGATAAGCCTAGACACCCTACGGTTCCTGATCCTCATACTTTTCTCAATCAAATTCTCTCTTCTCACTGTTATTATTCTGTGTTAGGATGCATTCTGGTTGTCCAATTACAGACAATAGTAAGCCATACTTTGCCTTTGAGTGGGAACAAGAAGAAGGAGGGAAAGTAATTAAACAGCAACTTACTTGGACCACACTGCCACAAAGATATACTGAATCACCGGTTTTATTTGGACGAGCTTTAAAAAATCTTTTAAATGAATTCTCATTACCTCCACAAGTAAGGTTATTGCATTATGTAGATGATTTTACAAGTAGAAGACACTACTGTGAAATTGCTTAACTTTCTAGCTGAAAAAGGACTAAGAATTTCTGAAAAGAAAGATCAAATGGTAGAGACAGAAGTTAAGTATTTAGGACATATGATAATGCATGGATCACAATGTGTAGATCCAGAAACGGTTAAAGAAATCTTGGAAATTCCTCTTCCAAAAATGAAGAAAGAATTTTTAGGATTAGTGGGATTTTGTAGGACTTGGACAGAGGATTTTTCAATAATAGCCAGACCATTGTATGATTTGTTGACTCGAGAAAATCCAGAAGTAATTATTTGGATACCTGAAGGGAAAAGGAGATTTCAGTAACTAAAGAGTAAATTAATTCAAGCTCCTGCCCTAGCTCTTCCAGATCTGAACAAAGAATTTGCATTATATGTAGATGTTAACCAGGGACATGCAAAAGGAGTGTTAATACAAGATCATGGTGGCTCTCATAGGCCAGTGGCCTATTTCTCTAAATTATGACATAGTAGTTACGGGATGGCCACATTGCCTTCAAAGTCATGCAGCCACAGCTCAAATGGTGCTTGTGGCTAGAAAGCTAACTAATGAAGGACACTTAGTAGTTAAGAGTCCCACACCAAGTTAAAGCATTATTAACAGGAAAAGGCTCTAAATGGATGACTAATGCACAATTGTTATAGTATGAAACTTGTCTAATGGAGTAAGATGATTTAGAAGTCAAAGGTAGAAAAAGTTTCAGTCCAGCTTCTTGTTTAAACAGGGATGAACAAAACCCTGAAATAGTTGATGATTGCATTGAGGTAATAGGTCTTCAAACATGAGCTAGAATTGACCTAACAGATGGTCCACTATCTAGACGACAAAATGTGTTTATTGATGGATCCTCATAGGTGATAGAAGAGAAGCGTTATACTGGATATGCTATAATTGAAGAAGAACAGTTAAAAGACTGTGGTAGATTACCTTATATCTAGTCAGCACAAAGAGCTGAACTATTAGCTCTGATACGAGCTTGTGAAATACACCACAGAAAAGCAGTTAATGTCTATATGGATTCCAAATATGCATATGTGTTTGAGAAATTACGGAAAGAAAGGGGACTTTTAACCTGTAGAGGCAAGGCACTAGCATATGAGAATTTGATACAGAGATTATTGAAAGTCATGGATTTATCTCAACAAATAGCAGTGGTCCCTGTTAAAGAACATCAAATGGGACATCAAACGCTTCTGCAGAAGTGACTGGTAATAGATTAGCAGATGAAGAGGCCTGGAAAAAAGCACTTTTGCTTGAGGTATCTGAAGTATTTCCCCTCCTACCAGTGACTCAATTATTGCCAGAAGGAATGTCCTTCTTGCCACAAGAATTGGAAACAATTAAAAACAGTGGAGCAGAAAATAGAGGGGAAAATTGGTTCACAAAAACGGGTAAACAATGGATACCGAAGGCATTGGCCTTACAAATATCAAAACAACTTCATGAAGGGAGTCATTGAGGCTCCTGAGCACTAGCAGAGGCCTTTCTTAAAATGTATGTGACATTGAGCCTTTTGTGACATTGCTTTACATATTCCATGGTACCCTCAAAGTTCTGGATGAGTAGAATATATGGATGAAGAGATCAAGAAATATCTTTTAAAATTAGTAATGGAAACAAAAATGCCCTGGACTCAGCTTTTACCTATAGCTTTAGCAAGGATAAGAGCTAAACATCGAGAAAGTCTTAAGTTATCTCCATCTGAGATAATGTCTGGAATCCCTTATCCGGTTGGGTTACAAAAAGAAAGCAGAATAGAAATTTGTTCATAAAGCAGCATGTGGCCAGAATACTGTCTGTTGTAAAATCTCTTCAACAGGAAGCCCAGCTGGCACAAACTCTACCCTTGGATTTCGCAGTTCATGACATCTGTCCAGGAGACTGGGTTCTAGCTAAGGACTGCAAACACCACTGGTGGGAAAGTGGCGCAGACCATATTAGGTGTTATTGACCACAGACAGAGCAGTTAAGACTGCTGAGGATGGGTGGACTCACCATACACAAGTGAAACCTTCTAGAGCACCAGAGTTCTGGACTTCACAACTAGAAGAGAAAGAAGGAAAGCCTAAACTTATACTACACAGAAACCGTGAGTAGAAGCGTCTGTGTTGATTTAGGAAGAAGTTCCTGCATCTACCCACTGAGCATCTACTTAATGTCTACTCAAATGGACCTTCCTATCGACAGTCAAATGAAGATAAAACTTTTGATCCTGTTTCTTTGTTATCACCTGTGCGCTGGTCAAATAGAAGGAAACAGATTTTTAGCACTAGGGGAAGAAATTGCAAAAGCTCAAAGTTCCAAATAGCTGGTCCATAATGCTCAATAATCCTTTGAGAAGTCCACTCATTCTTTTTCCATTTTTTGTTTTCTTCCTCCTGTAGGGGAGGTATTAAGTTCTCATTTTTTTTTTTAATCATCATATACTTTAGTTCCCAAACTGTATATGGCTTAAAAAAAAGAATAAGGGTTTAATACATCCTACAAAACAAATTCCTTGTCCAATTTTCAGGCAATCTTCTATATGTGTGTTGGTCACTGTTGATCCAACAGTGTCCTTTAAGTGCCCAGTTTACACTGGACAAGGGACTATCCCAGAGTTCCTCATCTTCTGGGACTTGAAAATAAAGAGTATTTTCCTTTCCTAACGGCCCACCGCTATACGTATTTCAGGATCCTTGTTGGGTTAATGTGGGAGAAGATGAATATGAAGACTGGAAGAGAAGTGTTGAGCCCAAGCTTGCCTGCGAAGATGAGACCATCGTATGAATGGATATGAACCGTTTAAGAATAAGCATTTCAGATTTCACATTATGTTTCTCAGTTTATTGTGTAATCCCCTATAGATATATACAGTGGACTGTAAGTTCTGGAAAATTCCCTTATCCCTCATGGTCTTGAACCCTGCCCTCCCACTGGTAAATCTTTGCTGCATTGTAGAACCCTTCCCTATACGGTTGTGTCATCCTCCTATTTTGCATGCTCCTCCTTTACTCCTCCTCAGTTACGCCCTCTTCCTTGCAAGTTCTTACCCTACCATATATAAGGCAGAAGCCATATCAATAAAATGTGTGCGAACCCATTTGTCCCAGCTAACAGCCACAGGATAACAATATCACGGAACCCCCGTGAATTGATTCATGGAACAAGAGAGCCCATCTATAATTTAAATCATATAATTTGACTCCAAGCTATATTAGAGACTATTGCCAATCAAACAGCTAATGTCTTAGACTTGCTGGCAGACCAAGTAACCCAAATGAGAACTGCCAACTCTAAACACCAAATGGTTTTTGATTTTTTGTTAGCAGTGGAAAGTGGAGTATGTGGAAAATTAAATAACTCAAATTGTTGCCTGTAAATCAATGACAATGGAAAAACAGTAAAATGAATAACAAAACACATCCGAAAGTTAGTCCATGTCCCAGATGAATCTTGGAAGGAGTGGGGCATAGATATGTTTTCATGGCTTGCAGTTGGACCAGCAATAAAGAAAATACTATTCTTTGTTTTTTGCAGGCAAGCTACCTTAATTTTCCTGCCTTGTATGATTCCTTGTCTTTTGCAACTTACTGCATATGTGATGAAGAGGATGCAAACAGTAGCTATGCCTAATGACCCTGAAATGGCAATTAAAGGACAGAAAATAATGGTTCTGAAAACAGTGTGTAAATGAGAATTACCAACTACTCATTCTCAAGAAACTTTAACCTTAGATATTGAAGTAGATCAAGAGACAACTATTAACAAAATGGTACTCCCTTTTGCAAGAACATAATTTTAAAAAAAAGGGAGGATTATTAGGAATAAGTAGAATGTTCTTGCAAAGTTTGTAGTAGTCACAGCTAACTTAGTAGTAGGGTATAGAAAAGTTATGTAGTTGCCCAGCATGAGACAATACAGTGCCCAGAACATGGAGACCAATCAGCAGCAAGGGATAAATATGCAGTAACCTCCATTTTGAAAATGCTGGGGACCCTCAAAGCCCTTAATAAGCATGTAATGGGGGACATGTAGTAGGCATGTCAGAAAGTCTGTAACCCCGGAATACCTCACTCAATGGAGAAACGGGGAGGGACCTGAGTTTTGGGCAGAGTGGATAAAAGAGGCTATGACCCCTGTCAAGTTGAGAGACCTCACTGGGGGAATGCCCAAGGAACTCTCCCTTTTATTTGAATGAAAGTTTTAGTTAGCTCTTCTGTCTCTTGACTATTTTTGAGGCTCTTAGTACATGGATTTTTCAGAAAACTTATAATCATGACCTTCTTATCCAGAGAAAATGCAAGTACCTACATGTTGTAAGGTCACACTTTAGAAACCAAGCACTGGATCATCTTCCTCTCTTCTCCCTACTGCTGCAGGAAGAACTATCAGCAAATACAATCCAATTAATACTACTTCAATTTCACTAAAGGAGAGAGAGAAGGACACAGAAGACGCCCTCATCAATGCAGTCAGTTCAACATGGTTTTTCTCCTCAGAAAAGCTAACTAGAACTGTAACTTTCTTGTTTAAATAGTACAGGGTTAATAGCAGACAAAATGTATGCGACTAAGCATATTTCTCATACACCTGTGCGTCCTTTGTTCTCTGCCATCAGCTCCAGATAAGTCTCAGGACTACAGTGAGGCCTCTTGTACTGCTGTGTGGGAAGATGCTACAACCCTGAAGTCTCCCACATGGAATAAAGTAGTGTGTGAAGATTCTCTTAGTACTTAAAAAAAACCCAAACTACCAAATATGTTTCTCTTTTAGAGCTAAATTACTATACTGTGAAATAAAATGTCTTATTCATTCCAGTACTAGATTCTTCTCTCTTGTTAAGAACAAACTTCCAGATAATTACCTGAGGATTAACTGCTCTGGTAAGAGTTTGAAAGGATGCCTAAAAACACTGCTCTTCCTACTTTAAACTTTTTTTTTGTAAATTACGAATCATCCTGTTTTTGACAACTCTACATTTTATACAACAGGTAACACAATACAGACTATACAGTGTTCAAATACAATGCTGATAAAATGCAGTAACTGCTGCTAGTCATATGGGTTTCCAATCAGTCCATAAAACTTTATCCAAGGTTGATTTACAGAGCTAGCCTGGAGATGTGTTATTAATAGATACAGAGGAGACAAACCTGCTGGTTCTGAAAAGATCCCATTCTGATCAAAATTAGTGAAAGCTAAGAAGAACTGGATCATGACAGATAACTGTATAAATACCTACAATTTTAACTATACCGTAGAACTCTTTGGAACTATTTTAAGCAATAATAACTCAGTTTTTAGAGATGCTGACACTTAAAGCTACCACCCCCTGCTGAGTTTCTCAGAACTTTCCCAAAATCGGGTAAAGGAATTCTCATTAAGGTAAGTGGTTGCTGTTCATTTCAGGGTCTTCTTTTAATGAACAGCTTATACAGATGCTTGTGCATGTGCAGCAATTCTTTCACATAGTTTAAAACTTTTAAAATGATTAAAAAATCCATTAAATCAGACTTCTATGTATTATTACAATCCCTCAATTATTGACTGAATGGAAGACATTTGAAAAACAAGGGGAAAATTACAATCCCTACCACTCTGTAATACTAATAATGATAAAGTCTAAACAAACAGGCAGGGTGGATCATTAATTCATTTCAGCAATGAATACAACAGGTGTTACATTCTCTCTGGAATTTTGAATGGTAACAGTCCACACAAATGCTTCTTTCACCTCCAAGCTGTGTCAGATCAGATGTAGGGTATACTTCTCCATTCTGAAACAAACCCCAACTCCCAAAACAAAACACATTCTAACTCACCAGCTTTTGAGAAAGTACACCAGAACCCCATGCACCTGCCACTGTCTTCTCCCGACAGAGGACATTCTGCTTCATGCCCTAAACTTAGGGTTTACATGGACCTGGGCAGCCTTTTAATGGTTTGGAGTTTTCTTAAGAAATGTTTCCTCAACACGTAACTGAAGGCCTCAAAAACTAGATAAACAGACATGAGCAAAAAGATTACTTAAAGCTGTAATTTTCTCTTTACCTATGAGTGATATATGATACTACTAAGTTCTGAAATACTCACGCCATAAGGAAACAAGCAGGTACAGACAACAACATGTACTGCAATGTTGTATGCTGTGACTACTGCAGCACTCATTCTGAGCTCGTTTCATTATATTATATTACTTCAGACAAGTGAAACCGGAGTCTATGGAGTGAAGCAATTGTACAAATATGAATGAATAGAAAGTAGAGTCCAGATTTTTAACATAATGCAGAATTTCTAAACACAAATGTATAAATCCACAATAAAAAGAAAACATTATTGAAATATTTTGGCTTGGTTGCTGGTTTGGTTTTTGTTGTTTGGTTTTGGTTCTTTTTAATACACAAGTTATGTAAGTCAGGAAAATTATGTGTCTCTTAAACATTGCAACAGTTTTTTGTCAGTGCTGATTTTTTGACAGGTGTCCCAGCCAGGCTGGTTACTGACCTCGTATCATCTTGATTATCACTTCGTTTTCGCACTTCACTGTAAAAAAATCACCAAACAAAAAATGCACTCAATTATAATATTTCTATCCATGTTCAATTTTCTGTTTCTCCCACTATATCTTACAGAGCTTACCACCATCTGTTGCATGGCTAAAACTATGGAGTTAGTGCACAGAATCAACATCTCATAAGTTTCTAATTTTGGAATCATATGGATATTTCTGTGCAATTCATAGTTAGTCACAAAAATACAATTAAACCTATACTTAATAACTCCCCAATGTTCTGATATGCCTTTCCTTTTCTTTTGAGAATTTTTATTTATTTGCTTCAGAATACGTTCATAGTTGAAAGTATAAAACTAAATAACTTCTGTTTCAAGTATAAATTTATCTTCAGAATAAAAATGCACATTGTTGGATGTTTTTTATAAATGTGGGCTTAAAAGTTGTGCATGTATGAGTGATTACTGATTACAGAACATCAGCCTTCAAAAATTATACTGTAATCAAAAATTATTTGGAAAGGTAATGGAAGTGTAATGTTTGGTTCACACATTATCACAGAAATACCAGGGCGCTAAATGAATATATAAAGAATTTCTATCTTGTAAGTAATTCAGAGAAAGGGACGTCAAAGAAAAATGTGTAATTAGAATGGTCAGTAACAGAACTGAGCATATATTAATATATTGGACAGAATTAAAAATTATTTATACATAGAATTACACACATCTGAAAATAATTTAAGAGAGAATTAGGAAAGTAAATCCATGTACAATTAAAAATGTAATTCATTCACCAAAAAGTTTTTAAAACGGTGGGCTCCATAACTGAGCTCTAATTTGAATATTAATTATTGAGATAGCTTTGTAACATTTGCAAGCAAAAATGTTACTTGATTAAACTGAAAATAAATCCTGTCCCTCATTTATCTGTAACAATTCAACATGGTATTCTCTTTAATTTTTTTTTGTTTATGTTGGTACAATCTTAAAACTACATGTATGACTTTGTATGTATATTCACATACTATATCCTTTTTACAAAATATACTCAGTTGTGTTCATTTGAAAAAAGAAATGTTACCGAGCAAGATGAAGAACTGCTTCTACAATATTAGATCCATCTTTAGCACTTGTTTCACAGAATAGCGCATTATAAGTCTACGAGTAAAAATAAAATGTTAAGCCAACTAATTTGAAATGGTTCCCATGTGAACATGTACATTTATTTACAAATGGTTTCCTCAGTAACACAAAACAATGATGATACACATTTAAATAAACAGGATTTCTTCTAATGCTCTTAATTCTCCAAAATATTCACTTTAGTACTGTGAAAGAAAACAGTAATTGTTTTTAATTATATCTGTTTTATATTCAGTACAGTCTGAATTAATAAACGGAATAAAAAACATATCATAGTTCTTAACTCCAAACTCAGTCTTCTTGTTCACAAGATTGCAAAATATGAAGAGAGTTCCTAGGACAGGTTATTCAATCTAGCTTGTCAGTTACTCAAACTACAGCATCTGATAGTCTAGGTTAACCAAAAACATAATTCCATAAGTAACAGACATGGTATCTGCTGCAGTTCAATCAAACAATTGTACCAGTACTTAAAGACTCAAGACTCTTAAAATTCTCTATATTTTTCTGCCAACTATAGGATTTATGCATCTCTTAGCCCCCATATAAATACATGCAAAAAAAATTGTCCACACTTCTATTCATAGCAGAGAATTCCTTTCTTGTTTCTGCACATGTGGCAGAAATACAAGCTAGCCTCTTGAAGTGAAACCATTCCACTTAAAACCAGGACAGACACAAAGCCAGTCGAAAAGCCTAACTAAATAGCATGCTTCATATTTGAACGAGCAAACTCAGTCTCCTAGTCCAACCACTTTTTTTACAAAAAAGACTGAGAAGACTATCCCAGCCAATAACAAAATTAAGCTTATTAGACACTGAGATGTGATTTAACCCAGCAAACACCACCAAAACAGGATAGTTTTAATGAAAAGTATCCAAGAATACTCATTACTGGATTTGGACAAATGACCAGAAAATTATTTCTGTTTACTACCTTCTTATGTGGTTTTCAGATTAAAGTTCTTAAGACCCTTTTATACTAAAGAGGTACACTTTGACTTTACCATAGCCAGCTTTTCTCCATAGTTTACAGGCACACATTTTTGCCCTTGTTCTGTAACAGCTTGACGGAGATCTGCCTTGTTTCCCACCATCATAATTGGAATATTCTCGTGAGTTGCATCCTGTAAAGAGAATTTTATTTCCTTATTGCTTGAACACTCAGTATACAAAAAAGTAACTAACACCATCATCTCACACTGATTTCTTTCCCACAAAAGGTCTTGTGCACTATCAGAGAAAGCTGACTAATTATGAAAGTTATGCTGAGAACTTTTTGTAAACCCTTTAATATGTAAGCAGTCAGCTTAAACATCAGCCTGCAAAGACGTGCTTCCATTCCTATAAGCCCTGCTTCCTGACAATTCATTTAATATGTGAAGTTAGTCTATTGGAATTAATTATTGCATCCAAATGCTGTATGACAAAATCACTATGGGAAAAGTGACTACCGTGATTTAGAAAAAATGCTTTCAGAAGATAAACTAAATATTTTGCTTGCCACTTTCATCCTATTAAACACCTTCAGCACAAGAGAAAAAGCCTTTGCATTAAATGCAAATTCACATTCAAATAAAAAACCAAGAATATTGGTTTAAAACGCAAAGACTCCAAGGAATACTCAAGCCATCCACAAGAAGATATCTGAAATGGGTTCTCATGTTCATTTCCAAAGGAAATGTTGTGATTCCACGACAACCTTTTACACAAAGATGTATCATATTGCATGCTAACTGAATATGTCAGGATGCATTTAGGACTTCAATGTAGTTTTTACTTCTATGAGAGCCTGCAGTCTGGCTAACTACAATTTACAGATAATAAAATTTTATAAATAATAAGATTAACAATGCAGTGAAACATAGCTTATAAGCTGTATTATACTTAAGGGTATTACCTCAATCATATCCATCCATTCTCTCACGTTAAGAAAGCTTTTTTCACATGTTACATCATATAGTAGCAAGACACCATCTGCTCTTCTGAAGTATGATTTAGCAATACTTCGGAATCTTTAAGAAAAAAAAGGTCTGCATAAGGCCATATTAAAAAAAAATTAAATTTAACATCAATAAGAAAGGAGCATTTCTTAATTTCACTACTGAGTAAGATTCTCTCCACATTACATGATGAGTTTTCTCATAGCTTCTTTTGTAAGTAGTTCTTAAAAACTGTTGATGCAGGTCTACAAGTGCTCCCTAAGGATCAACAGGATTCTGTCCTAAACAACAACCAATATTTTGTATATCAAAACAATCTACAGTGTATCTATCACAGATAATCTGTTCTCAGGTTGTGCCAGGGAGGATTAGATTTTCTTCACTAAATGTCCTTACGGAAAAGGTGGTCAGGCATTGGAATGAGCTGTCTGGGGAAGTGGCAGAATCGCCATCCCTGTAAGTGTTCACAAAGGCATGTGTGGATGGGGCTCTTGGGGACACGGTTTAGTGGTGAATACAACAGTATTAAGTTAACAGTTAGATTCAATATGCTTAGAGGTCTTTTCCAAGCTTAATGGTTCCATGATTCTATGATTCACTTACATGTAACTTCCTAAATTGAGGGGGTTACTTTACCTCCTTTGAAAAAAGATAGGAAACCAATAAAATTATTCTAGGGATTAACTATCTTTGACATGAACTTTACACAATGTATTTAACCAAGTACAGCAACTTTGTATTTACACTGGATATTAAAATTTACTACATGGAAGGAGAACGACTGGGCCACTGCTTCCCCGCTTCACATAATCACTCATTCAGGTAAAAGTAAGCACATACAGCCCAACAGAAATTTTGGTCAATGAACAGATTAAAGTGACTTCCAAGGTGCTAGATTAATCTCTCAATAAACTCCGAAGGCTATCAGTAAAGAAGTAATGGCTCTCAAGAAAAGATGACATAGAAGAAACTTTATGTAATAATTTAAGAATCTTGGATATCTATTCAGCAATCTGTGAAGAGACAGCAAAATTCTAAAGTTTTTGGGAAGAAGTTTTCATATCCTAAATACAATGTAAATCAGGACTAGGATTTTCAAAGAGGAGAAGAAAGAAGAGAAGAGGAGGGAGAAGGGAAGGGAATGTCTAAGAAAAATCCAGCTTAAAAAGTGTGTAAGGACAAAGAAAGCTAAAGACTAAAAACAGAAAAACAATGTGCATCTTTTTGCATTGCAAAAGAGAGACACGTGGATTTAATTAATCCTGTGGTGAACCTTAATGACTTCTCTCTGTGGGGGAAAAAAGATTACCTCAAGCATCACCAAAGCTAACAAAAAAACATTGCACCTGTCTTGGAGTCTCAGAAGAGAAAAATTGCTTCTGTTTATAGGTATTTACATATGGCCATATTGACTTGCTGTAGGACTATACCATTAGTGGATTTTTTTCACCTAGGCGAAAAAAGGCAAATGACTTTTACAAACAAAAGAATTCAGAATAGACAAGTATGAAGGATCACTAACCTCTCCTGCCCTGCTGTGTCCCACAGTTGTAGCACTGTAGGTTCTCCATCAACAATTAGTCTTTTCATTTGAAAATCCACACCTGAAAAAAATCGTGTATAGTCTAACAAAAAACATCAATAACCTTTAAAAAACCACAGAAAATGAAAAGTTATATGCTATATACAAGAGTTATTTCAAAATTCATCTCTTTTAATAGGTTATGAGATTTCAGTTGTGCACATACTCTTGAACTGCAATAATCCCCTGAAGGTATCTGTCTTTAGAAAACTATTTCAAAAAATATTTTGGCCAAGCATTTTCCCAGAAGCATTAATACAAATGGCATCCTGAACAGCAAATAAGACCTCTCTCTCTTTTATTTTGCTAAACAGTTTTATCAAAGAAACAAAAATATTTTATAAAACAGACTTTCTTTCAAATGCCAAGGAGGAAAAAGATAAATTGGAAAAAAATCCTGACTCAGAGGCAATAAAACAAATATATAACTATGATTCAACTGGAAGAAAAATTAAGTCGCCGAATTGTTAAGACAAGTTTGCTAGTTGACAGCTATAACAGTATACACAAGATGTCAGTCAGAAATCCCTCTAGCTGTATTTAAACCAAAGCTTCAGTAACACTTCAAAGAAATTGAGACAAAAATAGTATAAAAGGATACTACAAAATACTAAGGAAAGAGGAAAGAGCTGAGAAAACAAGAAAGCAATAAAAATGCAAAAACACATTCATACAAACACTAGAAGATCCTTATACTGAAATTCTCTTTTCTGGTGCTTTGTGTTGTTCAGAAACAGGCTTTGTAAAGAAAAACTAAATTAGATGGGGACCCTACAAACCTACAAACAACTGTTAGGCACTGCTAAGCTTTAGAACTCAATTAGCTCTCTCACCCTAAGAAACTGTGTCTGTATATGCAGGCAATCCTAGCAAGCAATCACAAATGGAATCTTTTCACCCATTTCTGCAAAACAGCAATGAAATTCATTTAAATACTTTAAAAAGAACAACAACTATACCCAAAGTTGCACTGGTATTGCCTCGAAATTCATTCTTGCAAAGTCTCATAAGGAAACTGGATTTTCCCACTGCTGCATCTCCAGCAAGAACAATCTTGTAAGCCTTCTCTGAACTGGGGTATTTTAGAGTGGATTCGGTTGCATCTGACTGAAAATAAAAATAATCCGTCTATTGCAACTTATATAGAAAGTATATTCTCTGTATTGCTCTTTTTCCTTTTTCCACTAAAGAACTGGTTACCTGGGGAGTGAGAGCAGATATGTATTTCCTTGTTGAAGCAATTGAGCTGCTTCGACTTACTGGTCGTGAGGGCTTCCAGTCTAATACTGCAGTACTGTTATCAGGACTGTACGCTTCTTCATCCCTGATCTCTGGAACCTGAAAGTACAGATTAATTCTCTGGTGAAAAAAGTACACTTTTTTGGAAAGGCACAGGCAAGATTCATTAAAACATTTGTTTTAACAATTTGGATTAAACAGAGATGAATGACCAAATAGAGCTGTGCAATTCTAGTAAAAATACTATGATTATTCTGTTCTTATTCTTATCCATTTGCTGTTGACTGTAGCCTACATATTATCCTTAAACATGTTTATGGTTTGGCATACATTCTTTGAGTACTCTTTCTGATAGAGCAAACTAATTTCCATATGAAAATTTCAGCTTAAGAACAGTAACAATAAACAAATATTTTATTTCAAAGCCTATTTTACAAATATTAAGAATTTACCTACAAGATATTACTCTCTATGATATTACTACTCGAGCTAAACTAAATACAGCACAGCTGTAATCAACACTATTCATAGCATAGTCTCCACAAACAGAGATTAAATGTCTCTACTAAAAGCACAGCAAAGGAGTTGCCTTAAAAAAACCCATGTTCTACTGTGTTTGATACTAGTCTTGCTATGTAGTCATCACTAAATCTTTCCATTTTGCTAACAATAAAATGGGCATGACACCTTCTTACATTTTTAAATTCTCTGAGACTTAACGTGTAAGTCGATGTATGCACCAAGAGTATTCTTCTTTCTCATATATGCTTTTTCCTTCACTGCCACAGCATACTAAAGAGGAACTGATTGGAAACCTGTTTTACTTCTATAGTATCTGCTTTTTTATCATTAGAAAATGAGCTCCTCTCTCCAAACTGTTTAACAACCTCAAAAAACCAAGCATAGTTCAAAAATGAAGTTACTACCTCAGAAATCTACCAAAAAATGTAAAAATGAACATTTTATTTTAAAGAGAACTAAATATTTATGCATTCTCCAAAACAATTTTATTAATCTTATTTGACTACATGTAACCCAAATACTTAGTTTTAACTGCTCTATGGAGAAAGATCCATTTTATTTTAAAACCAGGAAACTAATTTTGTCTCCAACCAAAGGTCTTTCTCAGAGAAGGAGTAAATCTGGCACTTACATCAGTATCAGAAGCATCACCACCAAAGCCTTCTTGCATACACTGTGACCTTTGAAAAATCCTTTGATGCCTGTATTCCACTTCTGAATCATACTCATTTGAATCTCTCAAGGTAGACAAACCACTGTCAAAACAGCTCTCAGGTAAGCTGTCAACTTCACAGTTTATCCTTTGCATAGGATCGCAAACGGCTAAAGAATCAAAATCGTCATCCACACAAGACGAATGAGATGACCTAATAAGAAAATATTGGAGGGGAAAAGAATAAGTTATTACACAATCGTTTTTCCCAACAAAATCTGAGACATTCTGAAACAGTTGATTTTTAGAAATGCTAAGTTAAAGCCATATGTCAAGCCTATCTTGCCTTTATAAAGAATTTCTTTCTCAATCATCTCTCTTACAATGCTCAGATTAAATTATTTAATCTATGTTACTGATGATGACTTCCCATGTTTCAGTATGTCTATTTATAAATTAAAAAAAAACTGTTTAAGAACATTCATAAAAATGACATACTATGAAGACATCAAAGGCAGAAAATTATAGACAATGGTTTAGCTAATTTTTGGCCTATTCTAAGACATAAAATGACCCTGACATAATCTGTCTCATTTAAATGATTGCATTTCCTCATAGAAGCACATGTGCTAATAAGCTGTAAATATAGAAAAGGGAGTAGCCAAGTTCAGGAGATCAGTAATGGTGGAAGAAGTCACTGAAACACATGTTCTTATAGTTTGGTAGGCTACGTAAAACCTAAGATTTTACACAGAAGTCCTTTCTTTTCCCTCACCCCTTCTTCAAAGGCTTTTTGGTTTCCATTTTGGATGCTGTAATATATAAAAATACTTTAATGGATGCAGCAATGCCAGTATGGCTTACAGGGGAAAAAAAGCTTTTATTTATGTAAATAAAACTACATAAAAGAAAGATTAATAGAGTAAATCTTAAAATAATCAATCTTACAAAAAAATGTATGATGGCTACAAGCATTATTATGCTCCTGTAGCAAGACAGGAACAGGCACAAATTACAGTGAGGTAAAGAAGGTCTTCAAGTCACAGCACAGAAGAGAGAAACAGTCTGGCTTTGCTGTATTGGGAATGGATGTGAGGCACTGAACTGCTAAAACAGACAAGGTCAGCATCAATCCTTGTAAAAATAACTTGGTCCCAGAGGGGCTGGGACCTCCCAGCGTGATGGCACAGCACAGCAGAGTACACTGGGGAGAACACCAAATTATGAAGTGAATAATGAGTCCAATTCCTGCACATGGTCAAATGGGGGGGGACAGGGTATCATTGTCCCATGCAATAACATTCAGACCTATCTAACTTACATACCTTAAGGCTAAAGAATAATCACATGAATGAATGTGATCTTTGCTTTAGACTGTCACGGCATACATGCTCTTTGCATTTATGCACCTACGAGCCCATACCAAATCACTGAAATATAGAAGAAGAGCGTATACTATAACAAAGTTAAGCTTGTCAGGCATTCCCTGAAATAAAGGTCTTTAGTAGCAAACTTTCAACCTCACTGAACCATGAATTCAATGTTGGGAATTTCATACGTGCTTAAAGCAAGTTAGATGCAAGATGTGTGTTACAGATAAAAAAACAAAAAAACACACCTGCGCAAATTGCTTCAAAACATGTCAGAATGCAAATCAATAGCTCTTAATGCCGATCTGCTGTCAGGAGACAAAGTACTGAAAACAAACTCTCTGTCGTTTGATACTAAGTCACATCTGTTAAGAGTGAGTTTTATTTCTACCACATAAGCTTTCCTCTAAAGTAGCTTGTATTTCTCACTTTTGTGGAAATGCAAGGATTGCACTCCTTCAGAAAATTACTCAATGTAATATGCAATTTACCTTTCAAAATTTGCAGAGGGTCCAAAGAGAGAGGCTACATTAAGAAGGAAGCAGTTTCTGACGAGCAAAACTTTACAGCCAGCAAACACATCTCACAGAGACAGCACCCCTATCCAAGATACTCTTCTCTCTGTAAATGTAAATGTAACATACAGACTACTAAGAACTCTAAGGTTTGGAGTACCACTGAAAGAAAAAGAAGACAAAATAATCTATCAACTGAGTAAGGACACACATTTTTGTTGGCAGATCTAGCTGTTTTAAAAAAAAAAGTGTGAAACTATAGCATGATTGATAGTGCTTGGGGTTGTCTCCATTGCCCAGTATCTTCAGTGTCTCTGCAATGATCTGAGGAAGGTCTGATCAATGACAAGTATCCAGTAGGTACAAAAATAAATACCTCTGACCATTTGATATTTGTATTTAGATATCTTACTGTTCTCTGTGACTTTTACCGCACAAATAGCCAAATGCACTCACTGCTCTGGCATGTCAGTATGAGAAGAGGGTGCTTTTTCTTTTGAAGAATTAGGCCCACATTTGTAATAATTAGTACATGGGAAAACAAGACACACGGGCTGAACATACAACCGGAAACATTTTATGTCTTAAGTACTCGGTAAGCTAGGTAACAGAGGTCCTCAGAAGATTTTTGTAGCTTCTTGGAGATAAGGAGGGGAGATCAAGAATCAAACTAGAATCAATACAACAAAACAGTCCAAAATCAACAAGAGGCTGTCTGAACTCTCCATAAATTCATTATTTGGACTGAGAAGAGTTTTCCTGAGCTTCCTGAAGTAATTGAAAAGATTACTCTTGACTTCAGTATACTTTGGATCTTATGCTATGGTCACACATTCCTTCTAATTCAGACAGAATTATTCTCTCTGTTATTTGACAGCAATTTGCTCTACCATGAAAAGTGTGATGCCCTAGTCTTAACTTAACAAAAGCAAGCTTGGCTTACCTGTCATACCGTGGATTTAAAGGAGAATGTCCACCATTAAATTTAGGGCTGCTTCTAGAATTGGTACTTCCTGGTGAGGTGTTTGCCAACCGCTGCAACAGATACATAACAAATGCATAATAAGTTTGATAAACAGAGTGAAAGCATCTAGATTTGTTGTGAAAAGAAATATGCATCATCAAAATGGGAAATGTGTATTTTAATATGTATTTAACTACTTACATTTAATTAAACCTCATGCTTTATATAGGGATGAGAGTCAAAAGGCCTATTACAAATAAAATTTACACCCTACTGCTGCCGTAATACTGAACCTACTAACCACATTCAATCACAAAAGACAATGGAAATTCCAAGAAGATTATTTTATTGACTACACCTGAAGACTCTGAATTGCTAAACTCTGAAAAGCAATATTTAGAACAAGGCACGTTGACTACTAAAAATAAAATGGAAATGCCACTGGCTGAGCTAGTATCAGTAGAGCTACCTCCTAATTCTTGAGAGAGAGAGTGAAGGAAAGGTCTCAACTGATACAATGTGACAGAGTACTCCGTATATTCTGCCATGCCTCTACACATTTATTCACTGGAAACAGTTTCTTCTGTGCTCTCTGTAATATGCTCCCTTTTGTTTCAGGGCATGATAGAAGGAAATGGTATCTCTTGTTGCATCTGTAGTGAATATCTAGTAGCTTGTATCAGCAAAAAAGCACTCATGTTCATTGGCATGGAACACTGGAAACAGGCAGTGACCCCTATCTTCCTCCTTCCTGTCCAATATTGTCTTTGAGGGCCCATTATTCAGGCCCCAACCTTCTAAAAAAGTTAGTTTCTTTACTCATGATGCTCAGTCATTAGCTTTAGAGTTTAACAGGTTTCACAAGATTGGAAAACGGCAGTGTAGAGTAGGGTTTTTGTTATTTTCAAGCCTTCCTTTCTCTGTTTTGGAGGATGTCTGGTTACACCTGTTATAATAGATTCCCATGAAGTTGTAATAGCCCAAAAGGGTTTGACTAAGGTCTTTATTATCAGAAGTCCCTGCTATTTATTTTCCCAGTGACTTGCCTGGACAAAAGTCCAGGTTAGGTGAAGACCTTGCTATTGAGAAAGGGCAGTTTTCTGAAAAAGTGTATTTTCAGTGGTAGGCAACTCAATACAAACATATTCCTTTAGTTTGAAAGGAAAATTGCTGCTTTATTCACCTCATTAAATACATCTGAACACAGTATATTAAAAAAAATTACTACTTTCCAAAGCATCTCAGAAAGCAGCTGTGCTCCAACAAAACCCCATTATTTCACAACGCATTAGTAAAATCTAACAAGATTCAACTACACAAGAGTATCCCCACAGTGAGTTCACTGATTTAAACTCAATTTTTTCTGAGACTTAGCCACTGAAGCACCAATTTAAATTCGGTATGTTAATTCTTACACCTTCTAGTACAATGTAACAAAATCATAAATACATACCAATGATCTGTTGTACTTGCTGAAACTGTTTTCAAGTGCACTTCTTAAACCATCATTGCTGTCATGTAACTTTCTATTAGCTGATCTAATAAGGAAACACAGTTTAACTTGCAGGAGTAAAGAAAACTTGAAAACTATGTAACTTATCACAAAGAAATATTGAATAAGGACTTATCAAAAAACCCTTTTTTTTTTCTTTTGATAAACACTAAAGAATAAGATGAAACTAGAAACATGTTGACACATACTGAAAAAAAAATCATTATATGTGAAAAAGCCACAGTGAAGTTTAGTCCCCAGTGCCAGCTTAGGAAACCTGTTTTCACTTCTGCAGCATGATCTCTGGTCTCCTGAGTGGAAAAAAATACTGTAGAAATGGTCACCAAAAAACCCCCCAAAAAAATCTACTAGTACAGCCATTTCTGTACAAAGTGAATACCCTCTAAATATTGCTGAGGTGACGCTAAGGACAAATGTGATTCATCTGCTTGAAAGAAAGAATTTTTTTAGGATGAAGAAACTAACTAAAGATATAAAAAAATCTATTAATTGTGACCCTCCTTAAAAGCAAAAATTTGCGCACCTCTTGTATAATACTGTGCACTTGTAGTACTTCCCAGACAAAAATAAGACAGGGAGTTACTGGAGAAGCAATGGTAATAAAAAAAATGAGTCAGGCAATAATTTTTATGATAGCATGGATAGACTCAAATCTCATTCAGCTTATCATAAAGAAATTCATTGGGGCTAAGAAAAGAAAAATAAATAAATGCAGAGTTACTGTCTCAGTTACACAGTGGTCTTACCAGCAAAGTAACATCTACAACAATTAAGCACGATACCTTCCACAACAGTTGAGGCCATTTCAATATTTTCACTTTGTATTTTTTTTCCAAATCTCAACCCACTCTTTTGCATACAAAATATTTACCCCCACACGCACTGGGACAAAATTTGATAATAAAAAACTGAATTAGTAAAAACTTACTGCAGTATTTCAATTTGTCTTTCCAGATTATCTCTGTCTTCAGTATATTCTCGGATAATTTCTAGGTCTCTAGAAAAGAAAAAAACAAACACCAAGTTTAAATAAACTTACACCTTACAGGATATCCTTTTCTTTTATTTTTATAATACTGCTTTTGGTAGAGTTTACATTTATGCTGACACATGCTGAAAGCAGTTTTATGCAAAGTAAGATCACTTGGTGACTGCATTAATCTCTGCCGTTATAACTCAACAAAGACTGAAAAATAAAAGAAGTACAAAATAATCATATGGATTTCTTCCTTTCCCCGAAATATAATTTGTGTTATCTGAAGACAAGTACTCAATGAAACTGTCACTTACACTCCTTTAAATCAGTAACTAGAAGCACCTTTCACTCACTTCAGAAAAAATGCTTGAGATTGATGTGGAAGGCTTCCAAAACTATTCTCCCTAATATTCAAACAGATATTAATCTGAGTGCATGCCACAGAGAAAAAAAACTGGCTGATGCTGCACTCTTATTTCATTCCTAACTAAAGTCCCACTAAAATCAACAGACATTCTTGCAAAATTATGAGAGTTTGCATCATATCCAGAACTTGCTGTTTCAGATATAAGAACAGTAGTGATGGTATGGTGTCAAACATGTACCTGTCCTTTATGGCAAATTTAGAAAAAAAAAACTGCATACATAATAACTACATCAGAGAGCAGATTTTTTTCCCCTGGTGAAAATTATCATGTAACAGTAACTTACCTCTCAGTGTTCAAAGACTGATCTGCATACTCGCTTTTCAAGCTATCTAATTCACTCTGTAGAAAAGCTATATTTGTCTGTGCTTCTAAAAGATCTTTCTTAAGTTTCTGATTTTCCTTTAAAAAAGGAAGATATTAGATGTTAGATGTCATAGTCACTTCTACAAAATGTTCACAAATTATAATGGTAGAATAAACATCATCAAAATTACATAAAAATGAAACACTAAAATCTTGGCATAGAGAGGGAAAGAAAATGAAGGAACACCAAATCAACAGAGAAGTCAGTAAACTAACATGCAAAAACCTTTGCATTTTTATTTTTCTTTTCAGTTACACAAAAAGGGGACTATGTAGCCTCAAGCCATTTCTAAATGTTATATATAGAATGTGCATGCATTTATACAGAACAGGTACTCTTCCAACTTGAAGAATCTCATAGATTTATCAATAACTTTAAAAGTTTACTTTGTAGTTTACCAGTATTAAATGCAAAAACACTACAAAAACCAACAACAAAACAAAACCAAAAACAACAACAACAAAAAAAAACACATAAAATTTTGCACTGCAGACTAAAACAGAGGTTAGATTAATATGTTAATGATAATAATCTCTTACCAGGAACATATCATGCATTCTTTTTTTCAGTTCACCCACATCTTCCTTGTGATTTACATTTTTGGATTGCTCCTCCAGCTAGACAGATAAAAAAATGCAAAATTAATGTATTTGATTGTTCTGATTCAAAGTACACAAAAGCTAATGGAAATCACATTAAGTAACCCCTGAAAGGTTTTACAGCTACTTAAGTTTTTAAAAGTTAGAGTTTTGCCATCTGTGCTGGTAGGTAGCATTACTCCAATAATCACTGGCTTTCCAAAAAATTTTTAGATCAATAATTAAAAAACGTTTAATGAGCATTTTGCTCACCTACTCTTTAGGTATAAAATATGCATAACTAGTGACACCAGTCAACTATTGAGAAGATAGGTTTCAAAGGTTTATTCCCACTAAGTTAAAAAAAATTATAAAAAATTATTACTACCTCAGCTGTGTAGTATTTGTACTACAACCTCTCATGTTTCTTGTGAGAAATTTCTATTTCTATAAATGCTATTTCAAGTTCAATTCAATATAAAGAATAAAAAATGTATCCATATTAGTTGCTATGATTCTGCTAAAATTTACAGCAAAAACTAATGTTAAAATTAAGCCCAGATTACAAAATATCCAAAAACAATCTCATATCTGAGATTTCAGTTTGCCTTACTACTAGGTATCAAATTAAAAGATCAGATTGGAGTTGGGTTCTAAAAGGCACTATATTACTGTAAATTACTATATTTGGGTTGCCAATTTCATTTAAATCTATAAATACTTAGAGGCAATATGTTGGATTATTTCTACCAAATACAAGACTAGATAACTGCAATGTTAACAACTTGATGGACACTTTATGGACCTAGAAAATTTTTCAACAACAGAATTTGGATAACAGTTGCTCTTTTTCCTAAGTATTTCAACGAATTACTGAAAATTATCAGCAGTTGCCATTTACTAATACACATTAGATTACAAACCTATAATTATGATTATCCATCTTGAGGAAAGCACTTCAAGGTCAAAATCTTTTAAAACACTTCAAAAACTCACTAGACTTCAACTCACTCACCTTTTTAAGCTTTTTTATTGTCACCTGAAGATCCCCAACTTCAGTATCATACTGACGCTTCAGCTCATTTAGTGCTTCTTCAGCTTTTCGCTTCTCCTGCAATATTTTCAATTTCATTAGAAGTTGAGATAGGTTTCAAAGGTTTATTAAAAAATTCATTCATCATTTTGGAAACCACTCTTAAATTAATGTGTGCAATTTTGTCTTTCCATTGTGTCAACCTGTCCCTTCCTTAGGATCCACAGATTCTGATTCTGTAATTGCAATCCACTTATACAACACTCATAGAAATAAAATGGTAAGGTGGAAGCAAAGATATGAGTCAATTCAATGTTACTTATGTCTCTTGTGCTTAACATTTTCAATGTCTTAGGAAAGAATAAATAAAGACTGACCTGAAAAAAGTGATCAAATTTTATTTGTACATACATGTAAGTGTGTAGTGTATATATAGATGAACACATACACACCCATGCACAAATCGGGTCATTATGTTCTTTTTTCAAACCAGTCTTCTATGGCTCAGCATACAATGTGCTACTAATAACATTACCATGCTACCATCACTTAGTTTTTTATTTTGGTTTTTCTCTTACATTTCTTTGCTCGCAAGTGTTGGAATGTCACGGGGCCATGTCAGTAAAAGGTAAGCAGATGACAGTATCTTTAGTTTCATATGGTACTCAATCTGAATATCAGTATCTGAATACGGTACTCAGTCTGAATATCAAACCAAGTACACTATTCTGAGTTTTATTTTAATCAAGACAGAGAGCTTTTGAAGAGAGGCTACATCAGCCACAATGAGAAGAATGAGTGTGGCGTGCTATAAATTAATATGTGTTTGACTCACTTCAGTCACTCCCCAGGGACTTCAGTGCAGTTTCACAACACAAGAAATCAGAATGTAGCAGTGACTAGTGGTGCCAATGAGACAGGCTGAGTTTTCACATGGAAAAGACACACATGGACTTTGCTCAGAATTCAGTGCTTTCCTGTAGATGATGTTGAAATCTATGTGTTAAAACAGTAATCAAAGTAATCAGTTTAAGCTGGATTCCCCTACTGTTGGCAACTATATAGGACTTCTCAGTATTGTTTGGTAAATATTTGTTTCCCTTGAAGCAACAAAATACAGGACAGGTTCTGCAGAGGCAGGTGTCACGGTAGCATGAGTAAGATCACTCTGACAAACAATAGCCTTGAATACAGGCATTAAGATTAATGGCTTAGCACAGTCCTACAAAGTAAATAACTTAACATTTACTCTCAGGGCGTTTTACTAGGTGGAGTATGTGGAGCTACAAGGGAACACTGAGGAGTGAAAACGAAAAAAGCGCTGTGAGAAACAACAGCTCATCTTTCCTACCTAGAGGTAGATGTGAACAGTGAAGATGACACCTGCAACTTGGTGTCAATTCGAGGACTTTTTAGAAGGAAAATACAGACTAGAAGTGGGTAATACACAGAAGATGTACATTACTGTAGATGTTCTCAGAGTGAGCAAATGCACACATCCCAGTCATCCTTTTAAAGCAGTGAAAAAGTCCTCAGGGCTCTTTTCTGGAATTTATCATTTTTTGAGAAACAGTAATTTTCCAGAGAAAATTTATTTGTTTTCTAAACATAACTGCTTAGTCTCTCTGGAAATGAATATTTATCTTTACTGAGAGATGCATTACCAGTAGTGAAACATATTACAACACACTTTTTTTGCAGTGGTGATATCTTTATTAACATTTTTATGCCATTATATTTTGTTTCTAGGAAAACAGTTGACTTTTATGGTTTGGCAGGAGTGTTTTCTCTTGTATAGAAAAATACACTATTTGAAGCGAATCTATCAGAACACCATTTACCCTCACAGACCAACTAATGTGAACTACTTCAAATCAACAAGTTGTCAGAAAGCACTTTGTTGCTTCTAATTCTGGAAATGCTCTGGTGAAAGAACCCATAGCAAACATATACAGACATTCAGTATATTGTGTGTCCTACCGAGCAATAATTATGCCCATAGTATATGTTTTAATTAATGCATATCTTATGTCGACATTAGAACACTTTCACGAACTGTTACTCTTATGCATATTATAAAGTTAGGCTTATTTTATATTAATTTAGTAAAACAAAGCAGATAACTGGTTTTGCTGCTTTGAATTACACAGTCACATGTGACTCTAATATATCTTTCAGTGGGTAATGACAAGAGGATTTTTGTACTTTTCCATCAAGACTGCCAGTTGGTTGAAACAGCTAAAACTCAAGCACATCAAAACAGATTTTCCCATCAATTTTGGGAGGTGCAGGCCCTCACACACTGTTATCACAATTACCCTCTCTTAAGTCCACAACTCTATAAAATGTAGTTGCAGGACGAAAATAGAGGAAAGAAAGATCATTACTCCAGGCTGATACACAAATTAGGACTAAATGATCTAAATGATCTAAATTCTACATAATTTCGTCTACTAGTTTCCGCTCCTTTATGGTGAAAGATCATTTTCTCCGATCTGTTTGCAATACTGGTCTCAGAAAGAAACTCCCCTTGGTCAGCATATCCTCACAAAAGAGAAAGACATTTTTCTTCTTGGTTTTCATCACATCTGAGCAGACATTCCTCTTTGGGAAAGCATTAAGAGCATTCATTTTTATCTTATGCATAGCTTCTTTTCATCTAGGCCCTGCTTTCAGCAGCTTTGAGTCAGCCCATCAGGATCAAAACCATACCCGGCCATCAATTCTGCTTAAGACCACTGAGAGTTTGGTAATTATGAAATTCTGTAAATATAAATTACTCACTTCCTTTTTAACTTTATGCTCTGCAGCTTGTATCCGCTGTTCCATCTCTTCCTCTAGCTCACTTAGCTGAACTGCTGCTTTCTCCTGAGCTCTAAAATTTAAAAAAAAATAAAAAAAATAAATTAAAAAAAAATATTCTCTTAGCAATTGCCCTTTGGTTTGACAGAAATACTGTGTGAAACACACCTCTTTACCTCAACTGAAACAAATTAGACAGTCATACATGGAAACACTTTAACATTGCCCAGACCTTGAAACTGATGTGTCTGGGAACCAAAATCCCACATTATTTTGAAGAGACTGGCCAATTAGATTTTAAATAGTAGCTGACAGATGATGATTAGCCTGAAATACATCATATCTGCATTTTTTAAAATTAAGTTACAAAAATAAAAGGCCCCTCAGGTTATCCTATGAAGAGACTTCAAAAGGGTAACTGCAGCAACGTGCATCACCCACACACACAAGATCTCTGTTCCGAGTTAATCTGTTCGGTTGTGTCAGTAATTATGTGAGACTGTAAATGCCAAGTAGTTAAAATAGGAAAATACGCTCCTTGAAGCTCAAGAAGCAAAAATATTGTTTCTAAAATGAAAGCATAATGGACATGCATCATAAAACTCAAAGTTGTGGCCAAGGCCTGTAACAAACGTGGATAGAGCCTTCCAAAATCTTCATTCGCGAAGCCTAGTCATGATGTGGCCAAGGAGGAGGAGTCAAAATGTTTTAAGACATTTAACATAACAATAGAGTCTACAAAAATTTGGTCCAGAACTTATCCAAAGTATGAACATGGAACCCTTTGCAAGCTGCTATATGTGTTTATGCACAAGTGCATGCATGGCTTATTTTGGCATTAACTCTCAGTAGTTTAAGCTAACAAAGCATGATAGACAAAAAAAAGAAGCTACAGAACTGAACTAGAAACACAACTCACTATACCTTTTTACTGCTATGGCCAAAGTTTCCATCTCTGTGCTTTGAAGTTTGATCTCTCGGATGAAGTTCTTAATTACACGCTCATATGACTGGATTAATCTTGGTTCCGCTATGTGTATGTTCTGATACAGAACACTGACCTGCTCTTGTCTGAAAATGAGAGAAACCATGTTAATGTACTTACTTGGAAAAATGTTCTACAACAGGTTTGAAAAATTTACTGCAAATCAAGATGGAAAACCTCTTTGCCTAGTTTTAAAATTTAGCAAGCTAGATAAGGACTTTGAACAGTCAGCACAGTATGTCTCAATTCTTCTATGTTACATTTACTGTTTCCACTTCTCTACTTTCATATAGCTACTGCAAAAAAAAAATAAATTCGTAGTTGGAGAATTGCTAACATGTGACACATTTCATAACTTCCTAGCACTTCAGTAGTTATCCTTCAGAGCTGTAAACTGCTCACCAAAACAGGCAATAAACTATTCCAGAATAGTTTCAAATTTTAGACGGAAGCAGACACAGTTCATATCCAGAAATAGCTGCTGAAGAATGTCATTCGTTCAAAGAGTGTAAATATAGACAGTCTTTTAAATGAGTTTAACGTAAAATAGAAATAGCACTAGCCACAGTGAAATGGACAGTTTATCAGCCTTGCAAGGTAGATAAATTCAGCACAGTCTAAAACATAAAAATTTAGTCATCATACAAGATTTTTAGAAATATGAAATACAAACATGATACAAGCATCTCTGTTCTGCAATTTTCTATGTTCCTTTAAATTTCACCAAAAATATGCTTACTAGTAACATTGTTTCTTAGAAAGCAGGCAAACAGTAGGAAAATTACTTGTTACTTGACCCTAACATAAAAGATCTGTTACTTAAGCAAATGTTTTCGTGACTGTCGTGCAAATCAGGTCACTGACACGACTGGAACTTCAAGGACCTATATAACTATATATAACATATATAACATGCACAATGTCAATACCAGATATTTCCTACCATAGAAATTATTAATGAAGTAGCAAAATTGAAGATTCAGTGTCTTACATTGAGGGGGGAAACAATTAGACTGTGCTTACTGTACTTTGTGCCAAGAATAGAATACATTTGCAGTAGAATAGTGCAATGTATTTCCACAACTTTCATTCTCTTAACAACAATGTCACACCCACAGCCACTCCCTCTTCCAGCTTCTTCTGAACACTGTCAAGAGTATGCAGGGGATGCCACAAAGAAGGCCAATGCTCACTTGGAATATTAAGGACAAGAAGAGCTTCTACAAGTACATCATCAGCAAAAGGAAAATTAGGGGAAATCTGGGGCTACTGCTGAATCAGATGAGTGCATTCTGGTAATGCAAGACACAGGGAAGGCAGAATTACTGAATGCCGTGTTTGCCTCAGTTCTTACTGCTGAGGCCAGCCCACAGGAATCCAGACCTTGGAGGTAAGAAAAGGCCGGAGAAAGGAAGAATTCCCTTTGGTCACAGAGGGTTGAGTTAGAGATGGTCTAGGCAGATGGATGCACCCACCAGCGCTGATGCAGCTGATAAGTGTTGTTGCTAAGCCAACCTCCATCATCCTTTAAAAATCACATAGAACAGGAGAGGCCTGATAACTGGTGGAAAGCCAGTGTTACTCCCATCTTCAAAAGGGGCCAGAAGGAGGACCGGGGAAACTATAGCCCATCAGCCTTCACCTCAGTCCCTGGAAAGGTCATGGAACAGATCCTCCCAGAGGTCATCAACAACCATGTTGAAGGAAAGAAGAAGTCAGCATGGATTCAACAAGGGGAAATGCTGCTTGATCAACCTGATAGACTTCTGTGATGGCACGGCAGGTCAACAAGCATAAAGCAGCGGATGTTGTCTACCTTGACTTCAGCAAGGCTGTTGACACTGTCTCCCACAACTTCCTCATAGGTAAGCTCAGGACATGGGTTAAATGAATAGACAGTGAGGTGGATCAAGAACGGCAGAGCTTAGAGATTGTGATCAGAGGAGTAGAATCCAGTTGGAGGCCTGCAGTCAGTGGTGTTCCCCAAGGATCAGTACTGTTTTGAGTCTTGTTCAACTTGTTTATCAACAACCTGGATGAATGGATGGAATGTAGCCTGAGCAAGTTTGCTGACAATATGAAACTGGGGGGAGTGGCTGATACACCCGAAGGCTGTGCTGCCATTCAGTGGGACCTTGAGAGGCTGGAGAGTTGGGCAGAGAGAAACCTAATGAGGTTCAACAGGGCAAGTATAGGGTCCTGCACCTGGGGAAGAATAACCCCAAGTACCAGAACAGGCTGACCTACTGGAGAGCAGCTCTGAGGAGAAGGACCTGTTAATCTTGGTGGATGACAGGTTGACCATAAGCCAGGAGTGAGCCCTTGCAGCCAGGAGGGTCAATGGTATCCTGGGGTGCATCAGGAAGAGTGTGGCCAGCAGGTCGTGGGAGGTGATCCTGCCCCTCTACTCAGCCCTAGTGAAGCCATATCTGGTGTATTGTGTTCGGTTCTGGGCTCCTCACTACAAGAAAGACAAGGAGCTACTGGAGAGGGTCCAGCAGAAGGCCACAAAGATGATCAGGGTTCTGGAGCATCTCTCTTATGAGGAGAGACTGCAGAAGTTGGGCCTGTTTAGTCTAGAGAAGACTGAGAGGGGATCTCATCAATACCTACAAGTATCTCAAAGGCAGGTGCCAAGAGGATGGTGCCAGATTCTTTTCAGCAGTGCCCAGTGACAGGATGAGGAGTAATGGCCATAAACTAGAAAACAAGTTTCACCTCCATGAGAAAAGACTTCTTTGTGTTGAGAGTGGCAGAGCACCGCAACAGGCAGCCCATGGAGCTTGTGGAGTCTCCCTCTGTGGAGACATTCAAAATCCATGTGGACATGTAACCTGCTGTAGATGGGGCTGCCTTGGCAGGGGGTTGTACTAGATGATCTCCAGAGGTCCCTTCCAATCCTAACGATTCTGTGATTCTTTTCAAAGTATATGCAAATATACATTCCCAAATTGAAGCTAGAAATCAGTATATCGATGCTGCTGAGCCTCTGCCTTACATCTAAATCTGCTTTAAGACAAAGTACTCAGAAGCACAAAGGAGTTACTGAAAGATTTTATTTTCCCCTCTGGGATTAAAAAGAAAACTTTTATATTTCACATTCCTTCTTATTCCAGTGACTAGCTATCACCCAGATGGATTCAAAATATGTCAGTGACCCAGTTTTAGGAAGTACTTAGGCTTAAGAAGCCAAAGAATGACCTGTACAACTTAAACCGTGCTGACCATGCTGGCTCCTCGAAAGGGAGGTTCGACCACAGTTGGTCACTGAAACTCTCAGTGACACTTAAGTGAGTGTTTCTATGGCAGACAAAATTGATGGGACTTTAGTTAATCACTTATGCCTTCAGGAAGAAGTAACACACTTACATGAACTGGGAAGACTGTTATTGATATAGTCACTCCAACTATCCATGATGAATTAGCAGCAAGCACACTGTTAAAATGTTTTATAGACATGCAGGATTTCAGAAGGATGCAGCTATGTACACACTGTCTCAACATGCAGTAAGTATTTGATGTTTACTTGTTTCAAATTGCCATTTTCAATCACTCTTCTGTTTTCATATGCTTTGGTGAATACCAGTGACACCACTGCAGCAGGACAGATTAGCTGCAATTAATATTGCCCAATTTGTTTGTTTGCCCCAGGTTCTCCTTAAACACATGCTATTTGTTTCTGTAAATTCATCAGTTCTTCAAAATTAGTTATCAAAGAAGATTTTACAAATGGATTTCACCAAGTTGACTTGAACTCTAAACAGTCTGTCTTTTTGCTGGACAAAAAGGTAATTAGAATGCTCTTACTTCAGTTTCAGGGAAATTAATCTAAAATGCTTGAGTCTGTCCTTCAAAACTGGTCTTCCCTGAAATCCTAAAATCACTTTTCAGCGTATTTAGCTGTATCTCTTTAAGCTCCACACTAAAAAAACTGTAGACATTCACAAATACTAATGCATAGAAAGAGCACTTTTTAATACACAGCATGAAAGACTGTCACTTTGTTCATCTGGCACTATGGTTACACTACCAACCATGCATGCCTTTCTGCTGCTTCTGCAAAGTACAGATACAATACATTAGTACCCCCAATAAGTATAGCATTCTGGCCAAGTACTGCTCTGGCAGTACTGAAGTACTTCATTCCAAAGGTTTTATAAAATAAACTGTCTGTAAAATTAGTACTTAGTAACTGTAATTAGTCAGTATTTGCCCAACTTCACATGAGTTAACTTAAGCAAAGTTACTGTATTTACATGGTTTCAGAGAGTTCCTGAGAGAACTACATAAAGAAAATAAAACTGGTCTGATTATAAAGCAATTTGTAACATGGTAGATTTAAAGAAGCACAGTAGAATACAGGGGGAGCAGCAGAAAAGGCAAAAAAAAACCCCACATCAAAACCCCCACAACACTGGTCTTAAGAGATATCAGATATTTAGATTATATTAAGTGTCATAATTTCATTTAACCCCCCACAGCTATATGAATCCTTATTAATTCATAGAATTATTTTTGGTTTGCTGATCATACAGTGACCATTTGCCTAATGATCCACACTCCAAATGTCGCTCAGAGGGAGTTGATGGAATTTTTCAAATAACAACTCTACATGTGCTCGGTACCTTACATGTGCCCCCTATGTATTCAGCAGAGGGTATGCCATGCTACATGGGCCTCCCTTAGTCTGACCCTAAGGGCAGTATTTGGTTTTAGAACACTATTCTAATGACCTCTTCCTAGTGTAGGTCAGCTTGTAAAATTTCTCTTATCACTTGTAGCAGCTCTGTTGTGGTATGGACATGAAGAGGTGCAGTATAAGGTGGTATGAGCCAGGAATGTCTGAGCTGGGTGTTCGGTGGAAAAGAAAGATCAAGCATTATGCATCTGATGATTGTCCTCACTCTGGAGACCAATCGCCTGTGTGTGCCACCAAGAGATGGAGAAGTACCTTTTTCTAAAAAGCAGACACATTGCATATGCCACTATGCATCAGCAACCAGAAAAGAACAACCATATCTGTTACAGAATGGATAGGATCTGATTTTGTCACAGTTGAGTACCTAACATCTTCTAGATTGAATGCCTTGAGGAAAAACAGATTACACAAAATTTTAACATAGTTTAAAATTCAAGGTATTTGTCAACTTGAAGTGCTATGGGTTTTTTTAATACTGCCTTCTCTTTTTCTGTATCTGCCCCTTCAGATACAGGCTGCATTAAAAGAAGAGAAATAAATCTGCAACCCCCAGATGAGAGAGCTCAGCCAAGGTCTGTTTCCCAGAGAAAGGATTTTTAATGTTTCCAAGGCACAAATGATGTTCCCTTCTGAAAACAGAGGAGTCATTTAGAGCCAGTGGAATAGGAGTGGAAAAGATTGTGGGACAGGCAGGGAAGGATGAAGTCTGTGGAAAAGGAGAATGCCTCAAACAACACTTATGGCAAATGGTCGTATGACATTAAAATACCAGGAAAATGAATGCTACAGTGCTTAAGTTAGTTAGCACAGTTGCTGTTCTGATTAAAGCAAAAAGCAGAAGAGCAGTAAAACTTCAGCTAGCTCAGAAAGTCTTCTGGCTCACAGAAAGGCTTCCATCACATTTTCAACAGAGCATATCTTTCAAACCCCTATCGCAAGACGTATTAAAAGACAGGACAACATTCTTACAGCAGAGACCCCCTCTGTGATAAGGGAGGACCCAACATTTGTTTTTCCTCTGAATTTGCCTTTATCCTCTCTCCAGGGAACATGCTTCAATTTCCAAGGAAATCCCTCCAGTTCTGATATCATCATCTCATGGAAGTAAACACTTATTGCTGACAAGAGTTAGTACTGTGTTTTATATTGACTTTGGCAAAAATGCATCTTGGCTCGTGACAGCAAGAGCATGACATGTTTTGGATGGTTTTTTTATGCAGCAGAGCTCCTCTTCTTTGCTCAAGTACATAAGTATTTCCCATGAGCATCACCTGTCTTCACAGTTTAAACAGCTTGTGTTAAGAAGAGCATGCTTTTCTCACTTTATCACATTCCCCAGATCCACATTTTCTATACAGCTTCAGATGACATGACTCTGGGGCATACTGTTATCATAATCACATTAAGTACATTGGAACTGTATGAAGCATAAAATCTCAGTCTGGCAGCACTGAAATCAGAGCCTGATGAACAGTCAGCTTGGCCAAAATAACAAGACATACAAATAAAACGGACCCCAAGACTAAAAAGCAAAGCAATGAAGTATGAGGACTCTCAGAAGTAGACTTTAACTCAAGACAGGGATAAAAACTTTCTGCTCCAGATTCATCCACCCCCTCATGCTCAAATTAGTTTAGTTCATTTTCCAATAAAATTACCCAATTTGCCAAATATCTCACAAAAATTGCCCTAGAAGGCTTAAAGCCTTTGTTGACAGTCCCAAATCTTCATTCTTTCTGATGGAAGGTCTCTGACATTAAATTTAAAAATCTGTTTTCCAGAAGTTTTTTGCCTGTAATTTATAGACAGAAATAAGTGTCATAGCATTCATTAGTACAGGTTTTATCTTGGAAGTGTCAGTGGATGTTGGATCATTCTTTCCTCAAGCTGAGGAATGGAAAAGGATAGCCATCAGGAGACTTTCCCCCACGCTTACAGGAGCACGTCTATCAGGAGCACAGAGGGAACCTTTAAGTCTTACTACTGAAATTCAATTAGATCTGAGATTGGCCACAAAAAAGAATGCAACACCCAATAACATGGTCAAGGGCTAAATCCCTCCAGTACGGGTAGTGCAGTGGAGCACTCCCTGTCTGGAACACCAAATAGGTACACTTCTGAACTTTTTTTGTCTACTCCTGTACCATTGCAAATACTTCTTAGAGGAATAAACTAATGAATATGGCTGAGTTCTCAATAAAACAGATCTCCAGTGGCAATTCACTACATACACATATAAGCCAAAGGCATTGCATTCTTTTATGTTTAATTATTCATTATTCCAGACTAAATGTAATCATACAGAAAGCTAACCGCATTTTTAAATGAAATGAATGCCAAAAAAAAAAAACTAAAAAAACAATGTAAGTGCAATTCCACTAAAATCCGACTTCACATATTAGGTCAACAGCCTGGAAAGACTTCGTACTTTTTTTGTCCTAGTGGCACAATTTCCCACCAAGCACAGGTAAAGACTAAGGCAAACAATATTTTGACTCACAGTAACCACCTTACCAAGAAATCCAACTGAATTTGGTCCAAAAAATCTGTTCAGATGGGGAGGAAAGGAGCAAGGCTGAAAAGAAACTCTTTAACATTACTCTTCCAATACAGCCACATACAACCAATATAACCACAACTCCAGCACAGACTTGAATGTTTTACAGTATAATCTAACAGAACTGTGTAACTGATACATCAAACTGCAGAGAGGTATAATCCATCCCATAACAAAACTAAGTTTTTAAAAAAGTAACTAAATTCAAAATACGCTTATTGTAATGTATGCTTATTTTAGTACCTGGCACAAGGCAGGAAGTACCTGGTAGTAAATCATGTTGCATCAAATGTCTGCTACTACACTGAAGACTGGATCTGCTACTGGGTTTCACACCTCATTATGGAGGCTTATTTACGGTTTTTGAAAGTTCAGTAGCAGAAAGTGAGGCTGAACCAGTTGCTGAAACAGTGACAGAACCTTTTGTATCACTGAAAAATTTCCCCTTGATTTCCACAGGTATTCAATCAAGCTGAAGAGTGACAAAGACCACAGGTGTTTACTGTGCGATTTTCTCCTACATCAATCCTGGGTTTATCTCACTATTTCCAACTACTGTGCCTAGTTTCTCTTTATATAAACTGTAACAGCATCAAAGCACATGTGCCAGTGTTTTGCTGGTCTGGGGCCAGAAGGCAGAGCATTTTGAGGGACTGAAACCCAAAATGATCACGATAAAAACCACATAATTGAGATAAAAAAATATGGACAACTAACTGCACTCATCTGGGTTTAAGGAGTTTCTTCTTTGTAATTACTTTCCTCACAGTTTTCACCACCAGTGTTACAACAAACATATGAAAAGTAACAAAGCATAAAGTAAGAACACCAACTGTCTTATAGCACTGAAGATGCAGTTATGTTCGGAGCTAGGTATAGTTTTCAATAAAAAAATAAAATAAAAAAAAACCCTTAAGTGACAAACAATTAAAATAAATAATTTAAATTAAAAGATAAATAACTTTTTGGTATTCCAGCTTGTACTTCACATGATTTTATTATATTCTGTTGCTTAAGATTCCTCAAATAATTTCAATATATTCATTACTCACATAAGTGGTCCTAATGATTTTAGTGGGGCTACTCACATGAAAAAACCCCTTACACGTATGTTTCAACAAAAAAGGTGCAGCCTGCCAATGGAAATAAGCTGAGCTGTAACACAAACCTGCTTCTTGCAATTCAGGAGAGGAAGGAGAAATAACAAGAAAACAAAGGGCACACTGTTCTTCAGCTAATGCTGGCACACACCTAATCAATACAGCCAACTATGAAGGATGTTCAAAGGTATTTATAAAGCTGAACATGAATAGGAAACATTTACATCAAATTACAGCCAACCTGATAGTATTTAACTATCAAAATTTAGTTAATTGCAGTTTTCTTGTAAAAGAATCGTAACATAAATTACATTAAACGAGTCATAATGAATTTAGCTTAAGTACGGGATGCATCTGCACAGTGGAGCCAACAAAACCTATTACCTTTCTCTCCTACTATCCTTTTAGACAATCAGCTAGACTACACTCAAACTGCTGCTGCAACACATGGTAACTAAGATATTGACATAGACTATTACCAAAATTAAATTGATGCTTTCACAAGTTACCACTGTTCATGAGTCACATTTTTTTTCACCTCCTATTGAGTTTCTGTCCGACTTAAGGTTAAGTTATTAACTGTTTCTGCAAACTTTCAAACAGCCTTTTGTTCTTGTTCTCTTTCTGTAGAAATCAAGTGTGTAGAAAGGAGGGCATTATGAACAAGTTAAGACAGACCTACGTAAGTTACTGATCTGTCTGAAATGGGGCAGTCCAATAAATCTAACCAGGGCTAGTCCAAAAAGAAAACTATTTATTCCAGTTGTGCACATGAGTAGCAGGTTCTGTAACTGAAAATTTCTCTGAAGAAACCTTTTATCTCATAATCCAAACACATTTTTAAATGTGGCTAGAACTAAATTATTAGGATAAGTAAGAATTTAAGGAGCAATATCTATACATAGATATATTCATATACATGCAGTTTTTTAACTAGCTGCCAAGTCCTTAAAAGCAGATTGTTTTCCATCATAAATTATAATTTTAAAATGAAGAAGAATCACTCTGTACTTTTCATGGCCAACATTTTCACATCAATTTTGAGCACCTCAGGTTTCAGGTAGATTACTGCAAGTCACCAAAATGTGCCTCTGTAGATAGGAACCAGCCTGGTACTGACATACCCGTGGTAACCGGGTTTAATCTCAAACCAAGTTACCATCAATTATCTTTATTTCCCTGACACCTAGGGCAAAGGCTCTCACGAATTTCAGTGAGCTCCTCAGACCGAGAGCCGTACGTATCAACACCGTTAACCTCGCGGCGAAATTGCTGGTGGCCAGTATTTACCACGAAAAGGCTGAAAGGGCTGCAAGACAGGTGCTGGGGCTGGTCGGGGAATAGCGCGGGGAGAATGTTCCTCCGGAGCCGGCAGAACTTTGCATCCCGTACGTTCCACCGGCCGGAGTTTCCCACGTGGGTAGCTGGCAGCGCAGCGGAGAGTAAGCAAGCGAGCAGATGCATGCTGGAAAAACAGCGCTGAAAACCACCGAGGCCAGGAAGCAGATGTGAGGAGGGCTCTACACACCTGCAGGCACAGGGGCGCAGGGGCCACGCTACAGGGCCATTTCCCAGCTGGGATTGCATCAGCACCGGCGGCAGGCTCCGCCAGGAGAGCCGTTTCTGTCCCGTGGGGCCGCTGTGCCGCCGCCAGCCTCAGCCCCGCGCCCCGCGCCGGGATCGGGGGTGGCACGGATCGGGCGGGCCTGGACCTTACCTGGGGATGTACCTCGCCTCGTCTCCGAGCCGCACCTCGAAGTCCTTCCAGGGCTGTTCCAGCCCCGCGGCGACCCACGCGGCCGTCTCCTCCCCCTCGCCCTCCTCGCCCGCAGGCTCGCCGCCGCCGGGCTGCCGCCGCGTGGCGCCGCGGAAGCCACGGGCGAACTCCGGGAAGGTGATGGCCCCGTCGCGGTCGCTGTCGAGGCGCTGGAAGATGGCCTCGGCCTCGGCCGGCCGCACCCGCAGCTCGGCGCACAGCGCCGCGAAGTCCTCCCGCTCGATGCGGCCCGAGCCGTTGGCGTCGCACGCCACGAACAGCGAGCGCAAGCGGGACAGTTCGTCCCCCGCCGCCTCGGGATCCATCGGCCGGCGCCGGGCGCGCGGATCCTCCGACCGCGACCGGCACTGGACAGGTCGGGACGGGCGAAGGCGGCGACCCGACCTGCGGCCCACTGGGGCGGGACAGGTCCTGCTCCGCCCCGGCGCCCCGCGGGGCCGGGCGCGCCAGGGAGGCGGGAAGCGGAACGCAGGTGGCGGCTCTCGGCCGGGATAGGTGCCTGGCAGTGCCGCAGAGGCCCGCGGAACGCCGGCCGGGACAAAGCTGGGCGACCCCGACCCGGCAGCCGGGAGATGCCGATCCCACTTTCCCCTTTGCCCTTGCACAGGTGACTGTTTACAGCATCGCGGGCTAAAACACACGTCTCACCTCTCTGCAGCACTCAAATATGAGTCCCGATACTCTGCGGTCACCATAGGGTGTTAAATCTCACTTCTGTTTTCCCACAGAATAAAAATACTCCTGATGTTCTTGAAGACCAAGAACCCAGGATGACACAAAGTTTCAACAGCTAAATTCTTGCTCACCACGAATAGTCATGGAGTTAAGCAGTGCAAGTATGTGCTCACCAGTAATTTAGAAATGTGCATTGTTAAAATACCAGCTTAAACTGAACATGCAAAAGCTGCATTCAAGTCAATAAACCAAAAGAGCTAGATTTTCAGTGCTCTGTGAAGAACTACCATCTGTCTTCCTTGACAGAAGTCAAGGTGCCTCCCTTGTTGAAGTCAGACTCAAAACTTAGACTCCATTTGAAGCAGTTAAATTTTAACAGATTTTTTGAAATTATTATTTCCCTACACTTATTCTTGTTTATGTCTATCTACAAATGTAAATTGTGCATACCAAAGTTGTGATAAACAGAATACAAATCCTACTGTCAAAACATTTTCTTTGTTTGACAAATCCTACATACATACTAAAGGAAGATTTTTAACTTGGACATCAAGCATTTATAAGGTAGGAATTAGAACATAAATTGGAACAATTATTACTTCATCATTATTGTACATGGCCTTGGGCATTATTTACAATGTCATGCATGCTATTCAGATTTTACACTGAAGACTGAATATACCTACTGTATAGTACCTGCATATACGAACTAAACTTCTCAACTAGTGATGGTTAAGAAAGTGAATGGATCCCTCTGTGCTTGCAATTACTTTCTTATTCATCTTCTTCTGTTTTACATTTGGATAGTTTAAGCAACTTAGCATAACCTGTGAGATTTACTTGGAGAGTAGACAAGAAGTAAAATACAATCATCTAGTAATAAGGAATATCTCACTGAAAACAGTTAATATTACACACAGATATCATACTTGCCACAACACCATGAAAACTAATTAATTAAAACTGCTTCAATTTCTCCCCCAACCAACACAAACTTTACTTGTTCTGCAAGCCACCATAATATGTCAAAGCATCACAATCCTGGTGCGACACTCTACCTCTCCCTTCTGTACCTGTACCTGTTCATGACCTCTTCATCTGCCTTCTAACAGGAAGGGAGGCACATTATGTGCAGGCAGATGAAGGGCAAGGTGAGAGGATGATGTGCACAGTGGAGTGGCTCTGGGAGGTCTCCAGCAGATGAGCCGTGGTAGTTGTTCTTCCTCCCCACTGCTTCCCTTCTCTGCCTTTCTCATACTATGTCTTCATTTGCACTTTTTGTTAACTTGGTGGCATTTTCTTTGCTTCAATGCATCAAACTATGCTTTGATGGCGTTAAAAAAGCTGTTTATTTAGTTATATCCAGGCATGTACCTTGTGTGAAGCTCATAGGATAGGTGCGCATATTAAATGCCAAGTCTAGGCAGATTACAAAACATATCTACATACTCTCATTCACTGCTGAATATTTTAATACTGCTGAAGATGATTCACCCTTATTCTCTTCAATTAAAAACTAAGGATAATGTATCTGGTAACAGACATCATGTAGACTTTGTTTCTCAGATAGACTGCATCATTATGACCTCTTAAAGGGAAAAGGCACAATCTGTGTCTTTAAAAACTTAGTCCAAGACAAAGAAATTAAGACATTTGCATGATATTGCACAACGTGCATAATATCCACAATTTTATGCTTCGACTTTATTAAAAAAATGAGACAGAAAATGACAATAAAAGTTCCTTGTCAAAGCAGAGGTACATTTAAAAACCAAAAGTGTCTCTCAGGATACACAGATTTTTTTTTATTCAACTAAAAATTTGTCAGTTCAAACAGTGAGATAATGAGTTTCATGGATTTATTGATTACTTTAATAAATTTTGGACAATGACTGAAGTGGAAATTTTTCAGTTGAAACGTATTCAGCCTTCAAAAGGGACTGGAATTACTAATAATAATGGCCAGTCTTCGCGAGCGAAGATTTGGGAAAGGTCATTAACCCTTCCAGCCTGCGCAGTGGATTTTTTTAGGTGAGACACAGCGTGCGCTGAACTGAGCCCACCCTTTAGTCCTGAGGTTCATCTGCTGGGGCCGAGCAAAGCTTGGACAGTGGCAGTGAGGTCCCCAGGATGTAGGTTTGTTTAGAGTGACCTTCTCTTAGGTGGATTGCCTTCCACGGCTGACGAGCTCCACTGGAATTACTATTGGCATAGCAAAGTACTCATGGTGCTCTTGCAGAAATTTTTAGATATTAACAGCAAATGAGGCATGACTATCTCACATTCTTTTTGAAAGCTTGCCTGTTGTGATCAACTGAATAGACATAGAGATGCTGAAGGGACCAATAATGACTGACGAGTCCTTCAGCCCCAAAATAACAGAAAAAGACTGTTCTAAAGACACTGCCAGTTCTCAAAATCTCAAAATCTTGTATGCATGGCTTTTGCTTTCCCTATTAATCTTTGGAGTAATATAACCAGCTAGCAATAAATACTTATGAACTTCATCTTTTACAGGAAGCCTTCCTTGGTTTTGGAAGTCTACATGCTTTTTGCAATTCTAATAGTTAAAACCAAATGGCATCTACTGATGAAACTTCTTTGTTCTTAAAGAAATGGGCATCTCAAAATGCAATTCCCTACGTGCAATTCAATTAACAAAAAGCATTGCTGAAGACAGGAGTTTCAGGACAGAGATTAACAATGTTAGGTCAAACAGACATACCTCCTTCCAACTTTGACCTTTTTCTGCAGAATGGTGCCAAAGCTCTTTCAAAAACACAGCAAGGTCCAGGTTTTCCTTGCAAACAGAATAGTCACTGTTTCTTCCTATTTCCCTTTCTTGCTCAAGGTGTTGGAACATTTCACCAGAAGCAGAAGAATCAAGTTTAAATCACTACCTTGCCTGAAGCAAATTAAAGCTACTTTTCTTTTTCCTCATTTGACTGTCCTAACCACAAAGCTACTGGAGACAGTGATGGAACTGAGAAGCACAAAATTGCTCAAAGCCACTGCTCCAAGATTCTGTGTTTTACAGTGCATTACAACTGCACAACAAAAAAGTCTTTGGGGAAGATGCTAGATGCCAATTTTCCTTATGCCAGTGAACCACCAATCCATCTTTCATTTCTTTCTGTCTGGTCCAAAATATTTTATCTTATTTCACAGATTCTGACTAAGTGTTATCTATTCAATCACTTGAGCAGTTGTAAGACATTTGCTTACCTGGAGCAAAATATAATTAAATCTGTTCAGAGAGAGACAGAAAGACTGAATTCATCTCCAGTCTTGCGTGTAATGCTCTTACCTTCAAGTTGCTTTATGAAAAAGACATACACATTCAGTACTTTTTTCTACTTTATCCTGGGCAAAAGTGGCTACTACTGTTTCACTTCGTGAAACCTTCTCCTGTTCATGTGAGGCAAACTTTGTGTTTGACAACAGAGCAGGCCTTTAAAGAACGAGGGAAGAATGTCCTATTTGTGGATCCCAAGAAGGTTTTTTGCTGTTGAGCTGCTGTATCCAACAGGGCTCTTAGACATTCCTACAACTTCAGGCTTCTGGGCAGTATTCCTGGAGAAAACCTAACTGGTCAATGCTCCATTGAAAGTAGTTTTGGATGGTGTCATAGTTTATTCCCAGCCAGCAACCAAGCCCCACACAGCTGCATGCTCACTCTCCCACCCATGGGATCGGAGAAATAATTGGAAAGGCAAAAGCTAGAAACTCGTAGTTTGAGACAAAGACAGTTTAATAGGGAAAGCAAAAGCCTTACATTCAAACAAAGCAGAACAAGGAATTAATCCACTGCTTCCTGTGGGCTAGCAGTGTTCAGCCACCCCCAGGAGAGCAGGGCCCCATCATGTGTAACAGTAACCTGGGAAGACAAATGCCACTCCAAACATCTTTCCTTCTTCTTTGTCCCCCTCATTTTATATCCTGGGCATGATGACATTTGGTCTGGAATATCCTTTGGTCCGTTGGGGTCAGCTGTTCTGGCTGTGTCTCCTCCCAACCTCCCATGCACCCCCAGGCTCCTTGGTAGCGTGGCAGTATGAAAAGCAGAAAAGGCCTTGGCTCTGTGTAAACCCCGCTCAGCAATAACAAAAACATCTGTTATTATCCACTCTGTGTTCAGCACCCAGTGTTAGCCATTGTGAAGAAAATTAACTCTACTCCAGCCCCTTGACTGCAACTAATAATTTTGTGAATTCTCAGGCAGAGGCACTGAAACTCAACTACCTACACTGTTCAGTTGTTTAGAACAATCCCCCAGTGTTGCTTGCAGGAAAACTGCATCTCTCATATCTCTGTCCTTATGAACACTGTTTGGGAGATAAAATAAGCCAGTTGTAATATGGTCACCCTGTTTAGGAAGGTAAGTCCAGTTCGATAATAGTGAAGTAGACACTGCCGTATCTGCTGATCTCAGTGCCAGAGAACAGTTCTGATGCTTTTAATTTATTAGGGTAGAAAATTAAATTGTGTAGGCCTTTTTGTTTATAAAAGGTCAAAATAACATTTGAGATTATAATCCTATTAGAATTTACTTCCTGGATATATAATACTTTGACAATAGCTCAAACTTAAATGCTGAATAAATGTAGGCATAGCTAATTCGACTTTTCTCCACCTGAGCAGATTACTTCTGTATCATGAGAGAAATAAGTGCATCAAAAAACCTTAAATAATTATTTATTTTAATATA